CTGTGGTGACTGACATTCAGCGAAAAATCTGCTAAATGGTGAGGGTGATTTCAACCAAAGAAATCATCTACACATTTGGTTAACCATGCACATCATGATGAAGCAGTTTCTCTGCAGAATGTCACTATCATCAGACAGGCTCCCAGTCTATCATCAATTCCCCAGTCACACATACTTTCTTGCCTGGACAGGGTGTCTTTAACTTCTCTGACCCAAGCAATGCAGCATGTGCAATTAGTTCCTCCCCACAATTACACCAAAACACAATGTTTATTACTGAATCTTGATAACTTGCTTTGAGCATACTAAATGAATTTGGCTAGATATTGCAACCTGCAGCACTGTGTATTTGGCCTCTTCAGAAGTCGTACATTCATATCTTTTACATTGTAGTTAAGGCCTTCCTGAACCATCTACTATAAAATCTTCTGGTACTGAAAGAAGTAATATCCTGTCCTCACTTCTGTGTCGGTCAACCCTCTTCTTCTTCCTCCAGGAGCCATTCCTCTCATTATATTCTTGTCAAGCTACTGTGGTGTTTAATGTGATCAAAGGATTTCAGTTTCTGAGACACAGAGCTGCCTGGTATGTCAGTATTTTTACAACTTTATCCATGGTATTCTAAGAATGTTTCTATTCTATAGCATTTCAGTTCAAATACATGGGCAATTTCAAAGCAAAAGTTGGACCTCTTCAAATAATATGGGACTCACATCCATGTGTACGATGCCACAGGAAAGATGCATGTTCTCTACATTTTCACTTTTATTTGTTGCTGTTATGCCACAGGCTGTATAACCTCTTTAACCCTATGGCCACTATCTTTGTGACTTGTTTTGTAGAATCCATCCCCACTGCTGATAGCTGTGCTGAATTCTTCTTCTTGTGTTCGCTTTCTGATTTACACCGACAGACAGGTTCTTGTGATAAACTTGACTGTTTTTATGAGTTCCTTTTTAGTCCCATACAACTTTGTGTGCAGTGGTGACTCTCTGGGCCAGTATTCTCTTCTTAATGAGATGAACAAGGGACAGTCTTGCAGGACATGTTCTGCACATATAGCCCACAAGGGCACAAAGGTGAACTACTTAGTCGGAGCCTGTGCATATGCTGGTTAAGTTTGTTATGTCCTGTCCTGAGACGTAGGACAATGACCTGCCCATGCCGGTCAAGTAAGTGGTAGTCATCTCTGGCCAGACTCTGTTCACTTCTAATAGCCTGAATGGCCCTTTTTTTCTCATAGTATGTTACTGCATTCTCTTCCTGGTTACATGCTGCTCCTTTCTTAGCAAGTTTATCTGCGGTTTCGTTTCCTGGTATACCACAGTGGGATGGCACCCACTGGAGTACAGTACACTTTTGGGCAGCAACCTTGCCAAGTTCAGATCTCAAGTGAGGGAGTTTGCCACTCTTGAGGGCTTGAAGTACTGATAGCGCATCTGTGAATATGACCACATGGTGGCAGTCAGAACTGGTGTTGTGTAACATTTCGGCAGCCTGCTCTAGTGCTACGATCTCTGCTGTGTAGATAGAACAGAATTTACCAGTGGGTATACACTTTGTGTGGCGGTGGTTGCCTGGGTATGTAATAAAGACTCCAGCACCCCCATTTTTAACTTGACAGAGCTCATCAGTGAACGTTACATCTCCCCCCTGACACTTCACTAAGGTACAAGGTGAAAGAGAAGAAGAAGAAGAACAGTGTCACGGTACAAAACTAAGAAATACTGACACCCTAAAAGATCTTAACATCAAGAAAGACTGGGTAGTAAACATTATCTTGTCTCAGAAACACAAAGTGCCACAGCATATTTTTTTAACCGCACTGGTTGTTGATCCAGTGCTGAAATAAGAACCATCATCATAACACTTGGGTCATTTTTTTAAGTGCTCCGTTCCCATCTTCAGCAGCCAGCCCAGACTTCCAATTCTACCAGTAGCAGTCTCACTGTATGTCTGTCTCCCCTTTACCCTGAGTGCTGATTGTCGGACAGAAGATCTTCTGGTCACTACCTTACTGATAATTAAGGACCTCAATGAGGATTCATACAGACAGCCACCATGCCAGCAGACAAGTATGCTAACTATTTTATCAATGTAACTCTCTTACACATATAAGGCATGTATAAAAATAAAACATTTGTATAGAAAACGGCAAGATCATATAAATATTACAATTCTGTCAGCAATTTTGATATTAACAAGAGCAAATAAAACTTGAAAACATTTTTTAAATTCAGTCTTTCCCCTTCAGGATTGTTGTCTGTAGGATTAACATCTCAACGACGAGAATCAAATTGGTGCCAATACTGGAAAACCAGTTCAACCGTAGTTATTTCTGGAGCACCACAAAACAGTTATGAAGCAACCTGTAGTCTTGTATGGCATAAGACCTGAAAACTTAATATCATGACAGGGTAGTCCAGGCCCTTAGCCTTGGTTGGTAGGTGGTCTAGGATGTGTGCTCCGACAGGCAGAGAGAACACTGCTCTTCTAGTCCAACATTATCTGCACTTGTCAATATCATGGATGGAATGTAAGGACGTCCTTGTTTTCTCAATCCATTTATTTCCTTCTCTGCCAACTGCATGCAGAAAATGTATGCTTCATACATAGCCAGTTTTACAATGTATTTATTATTTATGTCTGTCCAAATAGACTCAGATGATCTGAGCAGAATACAACAATAATATTCTTTCACTGCATATGTTCTCAGGTCAGAGGTTCAAATCTCATGTATTCTTCTTCTTCTTCACTGGCTGTAAACTGGTGGAAAGTTCTGATTCTTCGTCCACTTCTGGGCTTTTAGTATTGCTCAAGAGCCTGAGTTTTGCACGCACATCCATTTTACAGGTCTGGCTCATTTTTTTTGGGTTCTTCACCTTTCAGGCAGATGCATTCCAACTCTGAAGGAAGCATGCCTAATCAGTTGACTCTTATGACATGCTTGTTAGGGGCCAATGGGTCCCACTCCCCTCCCCCCACACACACACACACAATGGGGCCCCAGAACACGCACAGAAAGAGATATATTTTTAAAACTGACCTGGACTTGCAGGTTGACCAAGTATAAGATAGGTACTAGGAAATGTTTGGGGAAGTTAAGGCAGCTGACTTTATGCTGACCCCATCACTCATTGACTGGTCCATGAATACAACAATAAGTACTCCCGTTGATTTAAACACGATATGACATTTACATCTATTGGGAAAGTTAAGGTCAAAACTACAAATTAGTACGGACAATCAACATTGCCTCCCTCCACATAAACAGATTTTATCTGGCTGTAGTAATTGAAAGCGTCTGGTCCATTCTCCCGCCCAATGCCTGACTTCTTGTAGCCACCAAATGGAACTCCAACAGGGTAGACATTGTAGTTGTTGACATAAATGGCACCAGCTTGCAATTTGGATACAACTCTGTGAGCTCTCTGTAAGTCTCTGAAAGTTTATTGCAAAAATATGGATTTAAATTATAAATATTTAACTGCCCAAAACTGCTAATTATTGTCTTTATTATACCACTTTTTCAGTGTGTGTGTGTGGGGGGGGGGGGGTTGAGTCTGAGGATTTACGGCCACATGGCTAGTGCTGTCGGCACGACTGTGCTGGTGAGGATTTTATTTTGCTCCCGACAGAAACAATCCCAAGCCTTACTGAGGATTTGAACTCGGGTTTCCCGCTTGAGATGCCAGCATTCTAACTGTTTGGCCAGCCGCTCCTCTGAAATATGTAACACAGTAAGTAAAGTAAATGTGTAGGATGGAGAGTAAGAAGCAAAAAACTTCATAATCTGTTTAAATCACCACTTTATTACTGGCATCCTAAGGGCTCACTGACTATGATGTTTGGGGTGTACAGACAGAACTGCAGATAAGTTAGTTGCGTATCCTTTACAGGATGTTGCAGAACCAACCCTAATAGCCCCTGGCTGTTGTGTGGTTTCTCTAGGCAATTTACATCCAGTAGTTTGCCATTGCTTTCTGGACGGTCAGCTTTCTTGATACCACTGTCGAAACCAACGCAAGGCGCATTGCCCGCAGCTGGGATCGAACCTGGCATCCCGGCATTACGAAGCAAAGCGTTCGCATCGACTTAGCCATAGAGCCGTCACTGCAGATAAGACAGAGATAAAAACTGCACACATTCTAAGAGTTGAAAAGGGCTAGATCATGAGGTCTATAAATACCTATTATATCCAGATCTAAACACATATTCATAAACATGTCTAGACCTACAAATATCATATCTAGATCTATAAACATTTAGGCACAAAAACATATCTAGACCTATAAATATCTATCCATATCCAGATCTATAAACATATTTAGATATATAATAAACACATCTAGATCTACAAACACATCTATTATATCTATACCTATAAACATTAGATAGATAAAATATCTAGATCTATAAACATTTACATATATAAACCTTGAACAAAGAAGACAAGAAAAATAGACTGCACAGTTTACTGCCTGGTATAATTTGCCGTATCTCCCCAGGTGCATACTGCAGTAACAATTGATTTAAATGAAGTAAATAAAATAATCCTTCTAACTGAAACCTAAAATCAACTACATTCAAAAGTAACTGCCTGTTTTACCAAGTCAAATGCAAGTGCACAACCGTGTCTTTTTGTTTGCACAATTCTGGACTGAACTGGTTTATTACTGTGGCTTCCCTACCATAGAGCATTCTCAAATGTTTGAGGTATAGAATTTGAAATGCATTATCCTTGTTTACAACGGGACCAGAATTCAAAAGCTGTCAAGTGATGGACATGGGACATGGACATGGACCAAGTTTTTGCTGTTGGTGTTCGTATTTTGCATTCTTTTTCGCAATATAACTAAAACCTATAAACACATTAAGATCTATAAACCTCTAGATATTACATAACACACCGATTTATAAACATATCTAGACCTATAAATATATACAGATCTATAGTTACATATCTAGATTTATAAATACAAAACATTCAAGACTTTTACTTTGTGAAAACGCCTCCAGCCAACCCATATTCTGAATCATTTGCCCGAGTTATGACTTCATCTTCAGAGCTGAAAGTGAGCACAGACATGACAGCCCCAAAGATTTCCTCCTTCACAACAGTCATGTTGTCCCGACAAGCTGTCAGAATGCACGGCCGTAAATAGTAGCCCCCGGCCAAACTAGGGTCGTCCAGCTGTACACGTTCACCTCCGTATGCAACTGTTGCTCCCTGGAAAATCCCACAAATGTTCGTTATTAATCCTAATTGTACTAATTACTTCCTTTACTGATTATATCTTTTCTTCTTGTACACTGAGATGCAGACAAAGGTACTTCCTTTTTTTTGTTTTTAATGTCAATATCTGCTTTGTGCAGGTGGGCACCACAGTTTAACTCTTTGAGTCCCAGGGGGTTTAGCATCAGAGGCCCAAGGGGTAATCAAAAGAGATGTAACATCGGCGCATCTTGCGTTTCATTGGGCCTCTAGGCGGGAACCTATGAACGTATGATGAGTTCCTTGGGACTCAAAGAGTTAATGGAGGACCGGTAGGTGGTACAGGGCATGATTAATTGTTTGGTAGGCTGTGATGCTGAGAGGTCTTGAGAGATCAGTGACTTCTTCAATTCTATCATTTCTGAACTTGAGTTTTGCATGCATACTCGTTTTACAGATCTGAAGGTTTGTGCAAAATGATTCACTGAAGACTCACAAACAAAATGTTGATTTCAAAGGAAATCAAGCTGCTGTGAATTGCTGTAGCATCTTGATGCTGAAGGCAAGAACTATTTGTCCAAGATCGATACAGGTGGTGAATCCTGGTCTCATCATTAAGAACCTGAGAAACACTGCAATCAGGTGAATGGCATCATCCGATATTGCCACAAGCAAAGAAATTCAAGACAACCACATCAGCAGAGTCATGATCAATGTGGTGTGATTCTTATGCTTGAGTTGCCAAAAGGTGAAACAACCAGTTCTGAATCTTACACAAAGACTCCAAGGAAACTCAGTATTCTGTTCAATCAAAATCAATTGAAGCCAAATTATTTCTCCAACAAAACAATGCACATGGCCTCACCAGAAATCATAATATCACTCTCGTTTCTAATTTCTGCTGTCCATCTTTAATGGAATGCAGGTGTTGTCTGTCCTAATGTGGTTCCATTTCGTATACAATAGAGACATGTGACACATGCACATTTTCATGTTTCTCTCTTCATTATTAATTGAGGGGGCAAAAACGAGAGACATTATGAGCTTGCAAAATAAATAAAAAAAGAAATGTGTACAAATAACTGCAAAATTTGGTTACCAATTATCTCTTTCTTTCAGATATAGAAGTATTGTATCTGCTTTGTATGCATATTATTGGGACCTTGCCTTTCAGGCAGATGTACTCGGACTTATTTATATGCAGACTGTTGCCTCTCAGACAGATGTACTCGGACTTATTTATATGCAGACTGTTGCCTCTCAGGCAGATGTACTCGGACTTATTTATATGCAGGCTGTTGCCTCTCAGACAGATGTACTCTGACTTATTTATATGCAGACTGTTGCCTCTCAGACAGATGTACTCGGACTTATTTATATGCAGACTGTTGCCTCTCAGACAGATGTACTCGGACTTATTTATATGCAGGCTGTTGCCTCTCAGGCAGATGTACTCTGACTTATTTATATGCAGGCTGTTGCCTCTCAGACAGATGTACTCTGCCTTTGAAAGAAACAACCCTAATTAGTCACCATTTACATGACCTGTTTGTTGTGTGTGTGTGTTTGTTGTGTGTGTGTGGGGGGAGGGGGCGTAGGTTTATTATTTTGTCCCAACAAAAAGGGGTTACGGAACCCACTTGGGAGATTATGTAAATATTTTAAACACATTCTGCTCCCCCCTCCCCTCTCCCAAATTAAAAATTTAAAAAAAAACTGGGAAAACAAACTGTCTTGTAATGGAAAACTACGACAGATTATAGTGTCACTGTAAAAGAATTTTGCGAGTGATATCAAATTACGAAACCAACCTCTACTTACTTCTTTCTTCGCCAGGTCAATGTAGCCCAAAACCCTCTTGGCATGATCAGCGCTGATGGTGGCACCAACAGTTGTCTCCTCATGGCTGGGATTTCCCACCTTCATCTGGGCCACCCGGTCTATCAAAGCACTCAAGAATTCATCAGCCACTCTCTCTTCAACATACACTCGAGTCCCATTGGAACACACCTAAGATATGGAAATTACAAAGTGATTACAATGTGCCACATAACATGAAAATGAGTCCTTTACTTCAGAGAAATTATTTTCACAAAAGGTTGATTTTTTTAAAAAGTGAGGCTTTGCTAAGTAAAAAGGGGCTTTTCATAAACAAAGTTATTTCTTTCAGAAAATGAGTATTTTTTCATATAATTGATGCAGAGATGTTGAAGTATGAGGGTCATAGTTTATACTGACACAGACTTCTCTTCACCTCCACAGCAGGCATTCTGGCCAAACATTATTTATATGGCAGATAAAACCTGGACTGGCCACTGTTTAGGATCATTTGCCCCAATATAGGATACAATTTTTGTTTTTTTTAAAGCTCCACCCCAGATGTTGTCGGGGACCCTAAACATAACCTGATAGTTTTAGCGGGGTTTCTGGGACATGTGCCTGAGTGATTCTCATCCAAATGTCCCCAAATACTTGAATTTATTGACCTGGTTAAGCACTTTCCCATCTACTGCTATATCACATTTCGGAGTTTTCTTCTCTGATATAACCACCCCGAAATGACGTGTGTGTGGCCACAGGAAATAAATACTGGCCAGCGAGCAACAAGGGTCATAACTCAAACATATAAAACTGTGTTGGATGTTAAATCCTTTAAGTGAATTGGCACCCATTAGATGGATTAGGCGGTTCCTTGTAGTTTTCTTAATGATTAGTTGGTTTTTAATAGCCAGTTTTCTACACGATGAGGTAGCCAGCCTCGTGCCAACCCATCCTGGTTACCTCTTAAGGCATGCAAGGTAGGTTACAGTGTTACTATTCTTTGCTTCCCTTATAGGTCCTAGTAATGGTGATCTTTGTTTACCCTTAAGTCTCGGAGTACCAAGCAGCTCACCATGTGTTTATTGGAGTTACTAGCATCCTATGATTTTTTGGAGCTCCTTATACCTCATGAAACTTCAGCTTTATCCCATTCTTTCCCATTGTTAGTCCAACATAGTTTCAATACTTAGACCACTTCATACCTATGTATACATAACTTTAAGCATCATTTACTTAAGAAGAGATGAGTTAAAGACAAATATGTCTGGGACTGAAACAGTTAAAAAGATGGTTGACATGTTGTTTTGTGTTTTACAGAAAGGCTGCAATATCTACACCTTTTGACCAACACATCCAATTTTGTATAATATACAAACATGTACTGATCGGCACTTACAGAAAGAAGGAGAAAGATAGAAGGACATACTAGACAAATAAAAAATCAAAAGTTCTGAGGAATTTGAACCTGTCACCTCCAAATGACCACAGCGCCTCACAACAGAAAAAAGTGTACTAAGACACATGACCAACTACGGCCTTAAGGGTTCCTTATCTGTTTATCTCTGTGTATTACATCCAATATCAGCAAGTCCTAAATTAGTTGTCTTTTACAATATGCTTATTAAAATACAGTGGGTCTATTCTTTCTTTCTAAAAATGATGATCAGAAGTCACATGCGAATGAGGTTCTTTGGCCAAAAAATATTCACACAGTACATTATATGAACTTGAACCTCACAACAAACATAAACCATGACACTTAGCAACATAATGGTAACAGTGTAATGACAAAAGAAGAATAACAACAAACAGAAAAGAACTCGTAATGACTTCACCTGTCCTTGGTTAGTGAAGTTTGCCAAAATAGCACCTTTCACAGCATTCTCCATATCAGCATCTGCAAAGATGATCAGTGGGGATTTGCCTCCGAGTTCTAGTGTCACATGTTTCACATCCTTTAGAAAACAGGTCAATCAATACACAGAACAGGATGATAAAGAGCAAATAGTACACTGGGGAAAAAAACTTGTTATTTAAAACAATGTTTTCTCATTGCAAATATAAATAATGTGAAAACTAAACAATACACTGCATAATTTATTGCCTGGCAATAAAGGCAGTGAAATATGCCGTGCAATAAATTGTGCAATGTATTGTTTGTTTTCATATTATTTATACTCATAGTTTTCCAATGGTGTGTTTTTATTTGTTGATGAGGAAACAGGTATGGCTGAAAACTATTGATGACCCAGAGGACAAAGAACAGTCAACTGATTGGCTGAACCCTAAGGTATTCTAATGTGCAATTCAAATAATTTCACTTACTTAATTACACACATTTTGAATTTCACAATTATGTTTTTTTTTCTTTGTGTGTTTGTGTGCGTGTTTTTTTAAAACATATTTTTTTAGTAGTATATAGATGAAAGATGCAGGAAGAAGACAGGGTAAGATATATATATATATATATATATATATATATATATATATATATATATATATATATATATATATATATATATATATATATATATATATATATATATATATATATATATATATATATATATATATATATATATATATATACACACACACACACACACATATATATATATATATATATACACACACACACATATATGCAAGTAGTCAATGTTGGCTGATAGGAAACAAACGAATGAACAAACTTTATTTCCAAAGTGCCATAAATTGGGTCTGCAGGCCCGACTTACATTTAGCCCTTTCGAACAGTCAATCTTTCACAGTGCAGTTGTATTTTACATACATAAAGCATGCTATGTTTATATACATAAAAAATCACAGCATAAATGTTAAGTAAAATATAAAAATATGGATGGCAAATGCATTCCTTCAAATATACACATATGCAAAAATGTTCATATGATGCAGACACAAGTGAGGCAGACATACAGATACACAGATACATATACACAAATACATTCTTACACAAGGAGATGCACACACACTGACAACATTTACAAAGACTAAACACACTTACAAGTATTGTTTGTCCATCACAAGTGATAAAGATCACTTTTCATCCAAAGTGGTTTTGATCAATAATTATGAGTTTGAAGTTGGTTTATTAGTCCAATATGAGCCTGGAAAGTTCTTGAGCAGTACGGATGACAGATGGAAGCCACAGTAGGTGTGGGATTAGCAGAACGATTCTTTCTAGCCTGCCTCCTGTGCAACTTCCGCTTCCTGGCAGGCCAATGCACCATGCCTGAAGGACGTACGCCATCTAGAATAGTCTTGCCCAGCACCTCCCACGTCGCTGTGTTGATGCCAAAAGAATTGAGAGCAGTCTTGAGAGTGTCTTTATGGCGCTTTTTCTGTCCTCCCTGGGACCTCTTCCCTTGCTGGAGCTCGCCATAGAATACTCTCTTTGGGAGGCGATATTCTGATAATTCCTCAGTATCCTATTGATGCTAGGCAGGTTTGCCCTATCAAGAACCACAGTATTTTTTATCTTATCTTGCCACTTGATTTTGAGCAGCTTTCTGAGACAGGTTATATGAAACTGATTCAATTTTTTAGCATGGCGCTGATACACAGTCCACGTTTCGCAAGCGTAGAACAGGACTGGAAGAATTACAGCTTTGTAAACCTTTAGCTTGGTCAGCAGGGAGATACCACTTCTGTTCTAACAGGTAAAACAGTCACACAGACACAGCAAACAGACGATACATACACAAAAAGCATACAGACATAACTCACTCAGACAAACCAGCATACCAACAGACACAACACAGATCCACAGACACAACATACTACAAACATAACACACAGACACAACATACAGCCACAAACACAACACAGCCACAGACACAACATACAGCTACAGATACAACACTCTATACACAGACACAACACACACCCACATACACAATACACAAACCCTTACAGTCAACAAACACAGACACAACACACACCAATAGACACAATGCATACCCACAGACTCAACACATACCCATATAGGCAACACATACAGACACAACATACCCACAGGCACAACACATATTCATAGACACAATACACACCCACAGACACAATACACACCCACAGACACAACACATACAGATACACGCTGTCACACATATAGGAAAACATACAAATTTACTATGGAGCAAACAAGCGCTTAAAGATGTATCTTTAACATAAAAATAATAATGTAAGTGTGTATCCACAACAAGAATATACCTTTGAACAAGATGCCATAATTTTGCTGCCTGTTTGTACACTTCCTGTGAAAGAAACCTTGGCAACATGGGGATGAGAACTTAACAGTTGACCTGTTTTACCATCTCCCTGAGAAGAAATATTTTCTAATGTATTAACATGGTAATATCACACTCAAGAGAATTAATATTTAATATGTTTAATAGTTTCTTCTTTTATTTCTTCTTCTGTATTTATCCGAAGGCCTAAATGCATTCTGCCTATTTACATCCTGGCTGTGATATGTGTGCCTTTCAGTCCGCACACCAAATTTCTGCAGGCATTTGTTGCCCAGGTTTGTTTTCCTGGTATTATTAGTTTAAAATTAACTTAAAGATAATAAATATCTAATATGGTAATTTTTTTATATTACCCTAAGGACAAATAATTTCCAATATGTTAACAGTTTAATATTACCCTAAGGATTAGTAATTTCTAACATTTTAATGTTTTATCACCCTGAGGAAAAATATTTTCTAATTTGTTAATAATTATTACTATCAACCAAAAGAAGTTATTCTGAATATTAATTTGTGATTTTTCTGTAATTTTGAAACATGAATTTGGGAAAACTGAAACAAAATCACGCGTGAACAATATTAATATATAATTTCAAATAAAATCATACCCGAACCACAGTAAAACATTCATTGCAACAAAATCATACATAAACCACATCAAGCATACCATCCTTGGGAACAAAAGCATACCTGAAACACATTAAAATCATACCTGAATCACAATAAAACATCAATGGGAACAAAAATATACCTGAACCACATTAAAATGTCCTTCAGAACAAAAGCATACCTGAATAACATTAAAATGTCCCTTGCAACAAAATCATACCTGAATCACAATAAAACATCCCTGGGAACAAAAGTATATCCTGAACCACATTAAAACATCCTTCAAAACAAAAGCATACCTGAATAACATTAAAATGTCCCTTGCAACAAAAGCATACCTGAACCACAATAAAATCACACCTGAACCACAACAAAATCATACCTGAATCACAATAAAACATTCCTGGGAACAAAAGCAGACCTGAACCACAATAAAATCACACCTGAACCACAATAAAATCATACCTGAACCACATTAAAACATCCCTCTGGAAGACCTGCTTCCACAAAGATTTCCGCTAACATAACAGCAGTGAGGGGTGTGCTTTCTGAAGGCTTGAAAACTACTGTGTTACCACAAGCCAGAGCAGGGGCTGACTTCCAAGAGGCCATCTGAAAAGGGTAATTCCACGCTCCAATGGCTGCAACAACACCTAAAGGCTCTCTGATGGTATAGGCAAAACTCCCACCAGGCAGACGCAGGAAATCCCCTTTGTGAACAAGTTAAAAGTACAATCACTTCTGATACTTATGATTTTCATTTAAACTAAGTCTGCAGCATCGCGTTTTAAAGGTTTGTGCATTTTTTAAATTTCTTATTTTTTTTTCACCCCCCCCCCCCCAAAACTGGAGCGCCCCCCCCTCCCCCCACCCATTTAAAAAACAATGCTAACTTTACCATAATGCGAGGAATTTAACTTCAAATATTGCTAAGAGCTTCAAGCTACACTGTCTGTATACGGTGTGATTTTGTTTATGACAGTGAGCATCCAAAGTTACAATCACACAGGGTGTGATTAAAGCAGCCAAGTGTAACTGTTGGCCGATCACATTACATGTTCCAATAGATTCTAAAGGCTGCCTTAATCTGGGTTTTATTCTCCTCAAAAGTGCATCCGGCATCTGGCTGTTCTGTATTGCTCCCAATTTTTGCTGAAAGCTGAAAGGCAGGGAAAGAAGAAGAAGAAGAAGACTGGAGACTGACAAGTGAGTGCATTAACAAAAAGTGATCATGATGTCTATAACGATACCTCATGGGGGTTCATAGCAAAAGCAACATTGCTTGGCATATATCACAATGTCTAGTTTGAGATTCTTCCATTGGAATGAGAATCAGCTGTCATAACTTTAACTGACTCACAGAGTACACTGAGAAAGGTGGAGACAGGCATAGTCCGTGCAGAGTGGCATGCATCGCTTCAGAAGTCCTGGGTAGTTAGCATCCTTTAGATATTTTCTTCACGTACATGCTGGTGTGTTGGGAAATGAGCAGGCAGACAGACTGGCTGGTTCTGCACCACTTGGTGGTTAAATGATGTATGACAAGCTAGATGTGAAGATGTGAGGTTCCCTTTGGGAGTGAGTGAACAGTGCGGAGGTATAATTAGATCATTACGGCATGAGGAGAATGCAATACATGGAGCTACCAGGTGATCTGGCCAACGCTCAACACTCAAGGGAAAGGCAATACAAATGTACAATCAGATAGTCACTGGTATCATCGGAAGTGGAACTCTTTGCTTACTGCTAAATATGGGGATGGAGCGCTTATGGAAGTGTAATGAGTACTATGATGTTGATTCTTAATTCAACAATACTTCACAACGTGAAAATAAATGTAAAATTACACCCTGGTCTTCTGGCACACAGAAAATACATTCATTTTCAGCTGAACTAGACCTTCCATAGTTTATAAGCAAAAGACACAATTCAAAACAAAAAACATCATTTACCAGTAATATTAGCTGCCAAACCCCCATAATAATCATGTGTGTTTGCACACCCCAAAATATCAACACGTGCTTCCCATATTGGCTTTCCAGTGTCCAGCACTTCTGTTCGAGCTAATTCTTCAGCTCTTTTCTGAAATCAAACAACAAATGGGTTATCTTTGCTTGACCAAAGCATTCAACTTTTAATCTTCTTGTCTTGTTCGTATGTGAGGTCAATATCTGCTTTGTGCTTCTAGGTGTCAGTTTAACAGATGATAGTATGCTGTGAGGATGTGAAGTCTTAGTCTATCCACGATCTCTTCAATCCATCTTTTTTCTATGTCTCCCTATGCCTCTTGGTGTTTCCATTTTCATGTTATACTTAAAATACTATCATGTAATGAACCAATTAAAACACATGACATTTACAATACCAGGTCCAACAGGCCCACTTCTCCTAATCCGCAATTGAAAGTTTGAAAAAAATTAAAATATATGCTTGTCAACTTTTAAGTCCCAAGAAAGGCATTAAATGTTCACAGGTTCATACCTAGAAGCCCAATGAATGCAAGATGCACCAACTTTACGTCTCTCTACAGAGGACCTATTCCCCTTCCCCTCCAGAGGCTTTAGAACCCTTACTGGAATTTGACAGTTATAAAAATTTAAAAAAAAAAAATGAAAGACCAATTTCCATGCTTTTAATAGCGATGTTCAAAGAGGCTGGAAATGAAAAAAGAGGTGTGTAAAGAAAAACTTTTCCTGTGGAGACACAACCTGATTGTATGATTTGCATGCGTTGGGGCTAGAGGACATATGGTGCTGGTCGCATATTTTATGAACCCACCTTTACTAAATGAGTGATTTGATCAAAGCTTTGCCTCCTGGTGCCCATTTTTAGGCTGGGATATAACTGTGAGTCCTAGGAAACTGTCACTGTCTTAATGGGAATTTGAGCACATGACGACCACGCCACAAGGCAAGTATGTTAGTTACTGCAGAACCAGAGCTCGTCAAATACAGGTTTCAAGGGTGTTCAAAGGTGAGAAGACTAACTTCCTTTCACTAGGTATTAGCTCATATGAATCAGTCTCTCGCTCTGCAAAGTGCTTTTTGCCAGCAAAGCATGAAACTTTAGTTACAGCAATAACTAATAAGGAATATTCTAAACACCAAACAAACGTATAAAAGTACAAGTTGTCTGTAATTAAAAATCAAACTGTAAAAATGAATTATTTATATATTATTTTTCACAGCATTAGCAATAATTCCATCAAGAAAATTATGTCCTATTCAGCTTATTAATTTTCTTTTTACAATTAATTTCACTAATCAATGTGAAGATTGCTAAGATTGCACGAAATATTGTCTGGTCTTGTGCAACATGACTGGTACAGTAGCCATGAATGCTATTCTGTGGCACTCCAAAACTTTCTGGCGAGTTGGACTTTTGTGAAGTTATGACAGGCCTAGCAAGCCGAGAAATGATTTATTATCACTAAAAAATAATACTCTGAGATATAAATGGACTGGTCAAACAGTATTCAACCATGATGTTACGTCATGCCTATGGTTAAAGTAGTCAGAATGGCATAAACCAGAACCTTGTATCTCTCTCGACACCTTAAGTGGTAAAAGAGGAATTGAAGAAGAAGGAGATAAAGAATGAATGTGGTAAATGTCTTTGATAGAAACATTACTTACCCTTATAATAGCAGCTGCCCGCTTCAAAACCAGCCCCCTGTCAAACCCAGACCATTCACTCCACGCTCTGAAAGAGGTTTTAGCAGCTTTCACTGCTTGATCAACGTCATTTTCATTTGAGTTAGCGATGTCTCGCAGCTTCATACCTAAAATATAACGATAATAATGTAGTTATTTGTTGACACAGCAAAAGAATATGTCCACAAATATTTGGTATTTATTTCTTTGTCTTTCGCTTGCTCTTTTTCCATCAATCAATAAAACTAAATCTATGGTGATAACAACTAGGCAAAAGCTACAAACATTAGCTGTACACAAGCCACCGCTTGAGCTCTTCATTGACAAGCTACCTATTGTTAATGTAGTTGAACACAAAACATTAGGTGTTTTAATTGACAGCCATCTAACTTGGAGTTCCCATGTTCATGCCATGACCAAAAAAGTAGCACAAAAAGTATATCAACTTGGAAAAATTCAGCACTTTCTGGACGAAAATACACGTAAAATATTTTACGTATCCTACATTCAAACGCATGTTGACTATTGTTCCACAATTTGGGATGGCTGCTCCAAATCTAATGTCAAACGGCTGAGTTCTCTACAAAATAGGGCCTTACGCCTAGTTTCCGATAGAAACTACGTTGAGAAAAATCTTTTATATGGACATCTAAGGCTTCTGCCATTTAGTAAACGTTTAATTTTTAATAAGGCCAAATTTATTCACAAAATCCTATCTAAAGATACTCCAAATTACATAGACCGATTTATTCAATCTAATCCTAAGAATAGCAAGCGACTAGGTTTATTACATTTGCCTAAACCCAGAATTGATTTATTTAAAACAAGTCTAGCATATTCTGCTGCTCATTTATGGAACCATCTTCCACCCGATCTGAAAACTACAAAAAGTCCTTACTCATTTAACCGCAAACTCTTTCATTTCATTATTATCAGTGATTACATGCCACCTTAAATGTAGTTAATAATCCACAATGCATTACTAGTTATAATTAATTGCAGTACGTATGATATGTTTGTATGCATATATGTGTGACATGCTGGCGTGTGTAGGCGTATGTGTGTATGTATGATTCTGTGTATGCATGGGTAACTGTATACGTTTGTGTGTATGTATCTGTGTGTAGGCGTGTGTCTGTGAGTGTGTCTGTTTGTCTGTATGGTGTCTGGGTGCGTGTCTGTGTGTGTCTGTCTGCGTGTCAGTGTGCGTGTCAGTCTGTGTTGTGTGTCTGTGTGTGTGTGTTTTTATGTCTATCTGTATGTGTGGCTGCGTGTGTGTCTGTGTGTGTGATTGTATGTGGATATGTGCGGGTGTGGCTTGGCTGCCTGTTTGTCTGTGTGTGTGTGTGTCTGTCTGTTTGTATTTATGCTGTGTCTGTAGGTGTTTCTGCGTGTGTCTGTGTGTCTATGCCTGCGTGTGCCTGTGGCTGTGTGTTTCTCTGTGTTTTGTTTCGTGTGTATTTGTATGTTCACATTTTTTATAATGTGTGTGTGTGTGTGCGAGTATTTGTGCGTCTGTGGGTGTGTTAGTATGTGTTTGTGTCTGTCTCTGTGTGTCAGTGTCTGTGTGTGTGCCATTATGTGTCTGTAGGTGTGTATGGCTGCATGTGTATATGTGTCTGTCTGTGGCTGTGCGTGGCTTTGTGTGTATCTGTGTGAGTCTCTATCGGTGTGTCTATTATATTATGTCTGCGTGTCTCTGCTTGTGTCGGGTTATGCCTCTGTGTGCGTATGTCTGACTGTGCGTGTCTGTGTGTGTGTATCTGTGTATGTGTGGGTGTTGCGTATGTCAATGCGTGTGTCTGTTTCCCTGCCTGCGTGTTTGTATGTGTCCCCGTGTGTGTGCCCGTGACTGCATGTGTGTGTGTCTGTATGTGTCTGGATTGTATGCGTGTGTGTTTTAGAGCGTGTGTATGAGTGTATGTGTGTATGTATGTATGTATGTATGTCTGTGTGTGTGTGTGTGTATGTATGTATGTATGTATGTGTGTGTGTGTGTATGTTATGTATGTATGTATGTATGTATGTATGTATGTATGTATGTATGTATGTATGTGTGTGTGCATGTTCGTATGTATGTGAATGTATGTGTGTACTTAGTGCCTTTATGTTTGTGTGTAAGTGAGTCATTGGGCTTGTGTGTGTATGTGGGTGTGTGTGTTCGCGCTTGAGTGTGCGTACATATTTTACCAGCCATGCTTTTGTTTTTGACTTCATATATATAATATGCATATTATTACATGAATATAACATGCTTCATGAATATAACTGCTGTGTGAATGATGGAAGTTTGGAAGGGCCGAATGTAAGACAGGCCTGCGTGCCTAATTTGTAACCCTTTGAAAATAAAGTTCGTTCGTTCGTTCGTTCAATCTTGCCAGTTGTCCATTTCTTTTCACAACATGTTAAAAAAAAAAACCTGGCTACCTACATCCAATTGTTCTAATCAGTGCATGACTTTCATGTCTTGAGGAGGAATGCTTCACTTGTTTTTCTATCTTCTTCTTTTGTTGTCTCACTGATACCAGGTTGTAGCCCAGTGTGGTTTTCTGTATTTGTCTTGCACTCCTAGCGTGGCTTGAGTGATGGATTTGTTCATCTTTTTTTTTTTTTTGCAGGTTTCAGCTATACCATTTATCCATCTCTTTCATGGTCTTCCTCTCACCTTCCTCCCAAATGTTCTGCGGTAAAACGTCTCATAATCAGTTTGGTTCGGCTGCATTATCATTAGATGGCAGAACCTCTTCATTCTTTGCCTGTCAATATAATCCAAACATGGTCTTTATCCAACTTTCTCTCTAATGCTGGTATTCATAACCCTGTCTCTTCTTGAGTTGTCAGTGATCTTAAGGAGACAAAGCATTTCACATGTAATTATTTTCACTTCTAGTGCCCTATTCATTGTCCATGTTTGGCGCTGATAACATAAAGTAGGGATAAAGATGCTATTACATATCTGCTGTTTTTTATGATATTTTTTGCCATCTTCTTTAGGTTTTGTCATAAGCTGCTTGAAGCGCTATCACAATTTCTCTCAGGACAAAAACATCTTATTTAATAGCATAATAAACAAACATGATGGTGTCATAATCATTCATGATCAAGAACTTATGACAACTTTATCAGATGAACTCCAGCGAATCTAATGAAAAATAATGAATGTACATAATAGTGGCATGTTCATACCATCTGTGAAATATGCAACAATACTTTATCAGTGTATCTGATTTCTACAGGTGTTCATGTCAGACTGGTCTTCCAAAGTCTCTAACTTAGTTTACCTCCAAGGAATCGAGCTGGTGTGTCTCTTATTCCTGTCCCTCTGCTTTGATATACCTAACTCTGAAGACCCTTCCAGCAGCTATAGGTCATGGGAGTACGTAACATCTCTACCAAGGCAAGACAGAAACTGGTGTACAATGCAGCAAAAAAGCAGCAGTTCAAGAAAAAATACACACATTTTCATGAACATCAAATGCTAATGGCCTCACTCTTACCATAAGCTGGAGCTATAAGTGGGAAAGATGAAGAGCCATGGCTGTCTACTCTGCGTCCTTGCACAAAATTCAGTGGAAGTGTAACCTGTGGTGACTTCAGCAATGGATTGTCAATCACTGTACTTTTACTGAAATGTCTAGCAGATACAGTTAAAACTGTCTGCAGGGTCCTCCTCATCTTGTTCTGTAAAAGACAAAGCATAAAACATGTTAGAATGATTACAGTTCTAATCAACTGGTTGTGAATATCACGCGTCTTACAAAACATGTTAGAATGTTTATAGTTTTAGTCATCTGGTTGTGAATATCATAGTTTTAGTCATATGCTTGTGAATATCATGTGTCCAATAACTGCACATCCCTTGCCCACAATTTGCCATTATGGTTGCTTATTAGGTTTATAACAATCTGTATAAAAATTAACACTGACAACCTGTACCCGAAGACTGCTGTTTTGTACCTAATTCGATTTGTCTCAGAGGTTGCATGGCAGTGGTAGATGTGCAAAGGAGACAGTAATAATAACTGGAAAAAGGGGGGGGGGCGGAAAATCCTATCTGGTAATGATTACTTACATAAACATTCATTTACTGTTACTGTTATTGGTATAAGTAACAGTCCGCAAACAACCACTTCACGTCATTGTGAGAGATTTCTTGACCTTCCATTCATGTTTCATGACCTTTTCCACAGGATGCACTATCTTCTAGGGGTCTCACGTTGTGTTATTGTCAACAATCTTAATGTTCTGTACTCCAAGTTGTAAAGTTTCCAAAACTAGAATTGGCCATAAAACATGAATAAAATGGCAAACAAATTATGTCACAGTGGTGTGACCCATAAGTGCTCTGGGCTCTCCTTTAAATAACGGTCCCAAATGATCTACGCTGAAAGTTAACCCTAACAAAGCCTCACTCATATCTAAAATTCACATTTCTTTTCCGGCGAATCTACCGCGTCAAAAGTGGGATTAATTGCGCACGACATTTTCACGAAATGCAACAGACTTTTTTACGACAATTAAAAGGCAGCAAAACTAGGATTAACTACAGACGAACAATTAGCGACACGCAAGAATACTCCCGATAGTGCAATCCTACGGCAGGGCCACAGTTACATGTAAGTTGCGGACCACTTTTCGCCAACTATAGTGCCACCTCCGAGAGTATCCCCCGCGCCGCTACTCGAGGCGCAGAAGGGGCTAAACTAGATGGCTGGGACTCACGAGCAGCAGCTACCGCTTCTCCTGCAGCTTTCTCCATTGTTTTTGCTCGTCTTAGCCATCTAGTTTAGCCCCTTCTGCGCCGCGAGTAGCGTCGCGGGGGATACTCTCCCTGGTGGCACTATAGTCGCAGGGAAACAGTCATGAGCTACTTCTTCCGTCGCAACTGCCAGCGTGGTCGCATTCGCCACGGTCAAGGGGTGGTCGGGATAGTGGAGCGCCATAGTGGCGGCTGCTGGTTTGAAGTTGTCCCGAGGTGACTGCTGGTTTGAAGTTGTCTAGAGGCGACGTGCGAGTACATTAAAACGCACATTATTGATTATGTCTCGCCCGGAACGACAATCCCAGACAAGCCGCGCCCTGTTGAAATGGTTGACTGACAGAAAGAACAGATATTCGGGCACTATTTGCAACTTCTGTGCCACAATTTTCACACATAAAGGATTTAACTGTCGGTAAGTAGTAGACTTTGCACTTTTCCTTATACTTTTCGTTCCTTATATTTTCCGAGCTACAACTTTTAAATCTTTGTAGGGTAGGACGTAATGAGGCTCTGTTAGGGTTAATTTTCTGCGTAGATCATTTGGGACCGTTATTTAAAGGAGAGCCAGTGCTCTGTTCTACTTCTAACTCAAGCTTGAGTCTGAAGAACCTCAGCACAGTGCACGAACTCCGCTGCACCGGCAGGATCCTGAAATACTTTGGGTAGATTTTTAACTTCAAATTTCTTCAGTCTGTTATGATTTCCAACTGCCAACAAATGATGGCATAGAGGGATATCATCAAGAGAGCTGTTTCAGGTAACCAGGGATCGTGATCCTGGGAACGTTTCAGTGAATCATTAGCAGAAAATGAGAAAACAGCCAGCAGAAAATTTTTCAAAGTAGTTAAAAATATGCGGAAAAGAGATGAGAGCTACAACCCCACTGAAATAATTAATGATAAGACAGGAAGGCCATTGATAGATCCACCCGAGATAGCAGAAAGATGAAGGGAATACTTCAATGAGCTCTTTAATTCTCTAGGAGATCATCAGGAAAGAACAACTGAAGAGCACAGAGCAACAGTGTTAGAACCACACATACTAATGGATGAAATAAAAAAAGTCATTAAGCAGTCTCCCAAATATAAAGCACCAGGAGCTGATAGATTACCAACAGAAATAATTCAAACAGCAGGTGAAAGCAGCATCAGATGGCTTCACAGAATATTTAATGCAGCATGGGTACAACAAACTGCCCCTATTGATTGGCAACATGCAATAGTTATACCATTGTGGAAGAACAAAGGAAGCAAACGAGAATGGGGTCAATACCGAGGCATCTCTCTTTTAAGCCATGTTGGCAAAATGTATGCCAAGATAATAGAAACAAGACTGAGACCAGTAATAGAACCACAGCTGGCAGAAGAACAGATGGGATTTAGGAGAAATAGGAGCTGCACAGATGCAATCTTCACACTTAAACAGTTAATAGAAAAGAACATTGAATACAATAAGAACTTATTTGTGGCCTTCGTAGACCAGAAGAAGGCATTTGACAGAGTCGACAGACAATTATTATGGAAAGTAATGGCAAGATATGGAGTAAGCCAACACCTCATCGAAGTGTACAAAAGTTTATACAGGGATTGAAGAAGTGTAGTTAGAATAAATCAGGGAGTATCTCATCCATTCACAGTAACATCTGGAGTAAGACAGGGGTGTGTCTTATCACCACTGCTGTTTATCACCTACATCGACAGTATACGCAAGAATGCCAAGCCCATGAATGAAAATGTTAGTAAGATCAACGAATTACTTGCAGATAACCAGGCCTTGATAGCAGATAAAGCCATGAAATTGCAACAACATCTAACATCCATGAATGAAGAATGTAAAACAAACAATATGAGAATCAACACTGAAAAGACAGAAGTAATGTCAATAGGAAAAAAGAAGACAGATCTAATCATAGCAATAGAGAACAAAGGCATTAAACAGGCATCTGAGTTTAAATATCTGGGAACTACATTTACCGAAGATGGGAAATTGGATAAAGAAATTAACATTAGATGCAGTAAAGCAAACCAAGTATTGGGACAGCTAGCTCAATTCTTACAGCATAAGACAATCCCAATCAGCACAAAGAGACATCTTATTCGAAGCATAATTATTCCAACTCTGTGCTACCAGTGCCAGACATGGTCACTCACAACAAACCATAAAAGAAAATTAGTAACCATGGAAATGAGATGTCTGAGAAGGGCTGTAGGAGTGACCATAAGAGATAATATCAGGAATGAGATTATAAGAGAAAAAGTCGGCACAGAACCAATTCTAAATTACATACAAAGACAGCAAGTGAAATGGTTTGCCCACTCAGAGAGATCGCCTTGTGACACCATACCATACAAAGTATACATGGAAAGAGAAGAAGGTAGTAGAGCAAGAGGTAGACCAAGAACAAGATGGATGGATAACATCAGAGAAGCTCTACAACAGCACGGTGTGCCTATGGTCGAGGCGGCCAGAAGAGCCAGAAACAGAACCTTATATTTCCCTCGACACCCACAGCGGTAAAAGAGGAAGTGAAGAAGAAGAAGGGATCGTGATCTGTGGAGACGCATGAGCGCCTACGCCAGCTGTCAGGTCACATGATGACGATGAATTGACAAGGTATTTTTTACGTGCGCATCAATACACACGGGTCTGACTACCTAGAGGCCATGGGAAATTACTAGAAGTCCACGTAAAAAAATCCAAGCCTTACCCCGCCTTTCGAGGCGTATGAGCCCCAGCTAGTACAAAGTAAATTACGTTGTTTGGATTTCGACAATGAACAATAGTACTAGTACAATAAACAATACTCGTGTCAACTCGACTATTTCTCCAATCCATTGACTATGGCATGTACCACATATTTCGCTATAATACCCAAATTATAACAAACATTACATAAGTATTTTAAACAATAAAACAGGCTCTCATCAGTCGCTACAAATGGTTTACATATAATATATACGTATGCACACCGATGAGAGAGAATCAAGAGCCAGGGCTCCGAGTTCACCAAGCAGACGACTTTCTGCCATAGTTCTCCCGCAATTCGGAGTGATGTCCCTTGTGATTGTTGCCGGAAGTGGTTCCCAGCTGTTCTAGTGAGTGAACTGGAATAAATGCTGCATAAATATTGACTGGCGATTCTACTTCAAATAGTAGTTGTAGTATTATTGCAATCTTAGAGTTACTCACTGTTTTAGTTTACTACTATTTAAAACTTTATTGTGGTTGTTATATATATTAAAAAAAAGGAAGCAAACTGCACAATTCATTTATTACTGATTTTGGCCCGCAGTATTTGCGGCCTGAAATATCCGTTCAGGGCGCAGTCCAATTAAAAATATGCCGGCTCCGTATAGCATAACGAAACAAATGCTCTAACAGGGTCTCAGCGATATGTTACTTGCGGACCTGTTTCTTATTGTTTCTGATTACCTGACAATTCTAAGAGACGCACGCAACACTGCAGACGATAGTAGCAGACAATAATAATAGCGACCGTTGACACTTTCCATTGTCGAACTTTCTGCCGACGAACAAATCGCGGCAAATCTTGGGGATCGGCTCGGAAAAACGAAACAAATGCTCTAACAGGGTCTCAATGATATGTTAATTGCGGACCTGTTTCTGCGACTATGCCGCACCACTGACAGTCTCCCCTGCGCGGCTTCGTGTGGCCTGGATGTGGTACTAAACTAGATGACTGGGACTCACGAGCAAATAAATTGGAGGAAGTTACAGGAGATGTGGTAGCTGCTGCTCGTGAGTCCCAGCCATTTAGTTTAGCCTTCTATCTGCACTGCGAGTAGCAGCGCGAATCCTACCCTTGGCGGGTGAGTTTGATCCTGCATCGCAGCTCGTGGTCTCCCCGCCATGACGCTATTATCGTTTGTATTGTTACATTTCTTGAAATTGTCAACCGACAGTTATCCTAGTTTTGCCAGGATGTGTTTGTTTGTATATGTTTGGCCACCATAATATTGGGTCGAAGTTTGGAGGAGAACTTAAAATACTCTTGTACAGTTTGCTTTTGAGATTTAATTATGTTGTTCTTAGCGCACACAACTTTTACTTTTTAACAACAATTAATTTGTTATAATTAAACTAAACATTGCTAATTTTATATAAATAAGAGAGAGAAATGGAGGGGGCGTGTGAGAGCCATAGGGGGGGGGGGAGTAATGTCAAAAACAAATAATTATAATGACAAATCCTCTCACATTGTTTGGAAAGCATGTGTATCATCTGTTTTAAACTGTTGTTTAAGACAGATCAGAACTACTACTCAAAGCTGATGTTAATTTTCTGTATAATATGTAGTCAAGAAAACATATAGATTTTATGCATGTAGCTGTATGTAAAATTACCTTATATTATAAACTTGCATGAAAAAGGGCCATATACCTTGTCATCTTATGAAATTTAGTAAAAGGGAAGCAACAACGAGAAACACACTTGATGAAATCTCTCTGAGACATCTTGCTGTCCTCTTGTCTGGTATAACACTAAATATACAAGATGGCATAATCTTTTTTCCCCTCAAAAATTATTGTTTTAAGAGAAAAAAGAAAGGCAAAAACTGTTAACTATTTTTCATTTTAATTAGTTACCTTTCTTAGTTTTCTGTTAAATATTGATTTACATTGATTCGTCTTTTATATAATTTTCAGTTTTGCGTACACCAGTTCATGCAAGAAGACAATGGCTAGGGCTGAAGTACCCTACATCCGTACTTGGAATACTAGTTTGTATGATAATGTTACCCGCCGATGGATTAGTGGACATCTACATTTGTCACTGTATGCAGTAGTGTTTGAAGCTGATGACACGGCATCCAAAAATGCCAGCGAGAACACCCATACTCTAAAAATTGAATTTTCAAATATAAGCAGCATAAACAAAGCTCAATCATCTATTATATTTACTGCAGTGACTGTCATTACCAATGATGGAAACACATACTGGTTTTCTTCACTTGAGAATAGAAACTCAACATTTTTGATACTTCAGCATTTCTATCAAGCTTCACTGCATCATAAACCAGAAAATGATTTGTCTCGATTAGGATCAGCAACGGGTATGGCTCAGAAGAGAACCAAATTTGGTACAGCCCTTCTTCAGAGTGTCCATGATTCTAAAACTACTTTAGAGCAAGCAGCTTGGAACCTTGCAGACCAAGGTGATCAGTTGAGAAATGCTGCAGTCACAATGGAAGAGCTTCATGAGGATTTACAAGTTTAGCCAACACACTTCCTTGATGTTCACATCTTCTAAGATGTCAATATTTCTCATCTTCTTTGTCCAAGATATTCTGAGAATCTTTCTATAGCATTTCAGCTCAAAAGCCCCTATTCTCTTTCTTAAGGACTGAGAGATAGTCCACGACTCACATCCGTATGCAGCCACAGGGAAGATGCATGCTCTCAAAATTCGGCTCTCCTTTAAATACCAATCGTTAGCTGGACAGCCGACGATCGCTTAGTGGGAGTTCACTCCCTTGGCTGCATTGCAAATACGGACCGTACAGAGGGAACGAAACAAATGACATACTTACCTATCATCATACGGTTGCCTATACGGTTGCGTAGTCATCATACGGTTGCGTAGGGTTTGGGTTAGGGTTAGGGTTAGATGTGACAATTTTGACGTAGGAGTTCCAAATAATGGCCGACAATGTGATGCTTGTGGGAGTGGCGCCACTGGAATTCTCCTAAATATGACGGCAATAGCGCGCGGCTGGTGCCTAATTGATGGCGAATTGTCCTAAAAAACAAAACTAGTGACTAAAAGTGTCACATCTAACCCTAACCCTACCTCTAACCACGCAAATTTATCGGCGGTCATTAAGGCATACAGATCTGCAGGAGTCACATCCGTGGCAACTAATAGCATATATATATGGATATATTTACTATAAAAAAAAACCAGATTTCCCTGAGGCGTCAAATACACACCCAGATCTGGGGGGCACACCCAAGCATTGGCAGCCCTGATGTCGACCTCACTGTCTGTTTTGTTGTTGTCAACATAGTGTCTGTTTATATTGTTAAGTAGAGGTGTTTCTGTATTTAAATGGGTCCCTTCACCTCTGAAGGTTGTATGTATGTATGTTAAAAGACTTTGAAAAAGCCTTAGGGGTAGAACATGAAGATGATAAATTATAAAATAAAAGTATCCTGTTTAGACAGAAGTAGTTTGTTTCAAGGTTTTATTTCCCTATGTTATTTTAGTCTTCATACCCTTACCTGAACTGGACTGCAGGTTTCATCAGATTGGTGTAGCCATTACTAGTCGCCTAATTATAACTGCTTCAGAAGTTGAAAAGGTTATCTGGGCTTCCCATGTTGGTCAGCCACCCGGATTGAGATTTTTAAATATCAGGATGGGAGACCTTCAGGTAGCTGCTTGGAAAAAAGGATGGAGACAGCACGCATACAGGGTCTCTGTGGTGAAGTTGTCAAGCCACTTTCCTGGGTTGATTTCACAGCTGTGTCATTTGGTTTATGAGTTCAGTTTTTATGGCAGTCATTGCTAGAGCTATGGAGTTCATGCTTTGTGCATCACTGTTGGTGAGCAGTTGACCATTATACTGAGAGAGACCGAGCCATTGGGATAAAACCTAGTACAATGAAGTCGATCCTCTTTAACCTCAACTTAACCTTTATGGCATGTTATAAAATAACCCAGAGGTAGTAAGACAAATGAAAATATAATTCTATCATTGATTTTCTATTACTGATGCTTTTCAGATCTTACAACATTTTAAATGGTCAGATATCTCTCGAATCAGAGTAATTAGTCCCTGGGAAATTCTTGTCACAAGGTTTCTGATTGGTCAGCCAGATTTCAGCTATGACATACTCTGTACTACCATGCCTAAAGCATTAAGGAAGCTAGAAATGTTTGCCTCCAGAAAAATTGAATATATGAATCCTGTAGAGACACACCATCAGCGACACTTAGACAGTACGTCTGGATGGAATGGGAGCCCACACCGTCAGGCAATGGCACAGACAGGTATGTGCTTTCTGCATGCTCGTGGATTTTTATTTTATGATCTAAGTTTTTTAGGCTATTCATAAAAAATATTCTCTGTTTTTATTATTATTATTTTTAACTTCTTTTCAATCTTAAAGGTTGTGATATAGTTTGTTAAGTACTGGGAGGTCCTGTAGTGAAGTGGGCAAGCCATTTGTCTTGCGCTGTAAAAGGTTATACCTATAGGTTTGTTTTATATACACTGTGTTTGGTTCAAAAAGCTATGAAGCCTGTGCTTGGCTCAGTGCTTTTAGCAGTGTTGAAATAGACCGGAACCATATTGGGTAAAACAGGGCAGTGGAGTAGATTCTCAAAGCTTTAACATTTTAGCTTTTTAAGTACCTCTGTTGTTTCAGTTCTAATATCACATATTTATTTACATATACCCAGTTCGAAAAAATGTAGTACAGTGGTACCTCAGATCTTGTACGCTTTAAAATTCAAACAATCTAGAATTGGAACACAATTTTCAAGTAAATTTTGTCTCAGAACTTGAATGCCATGTTGGAAATCCAATGACTCACAATTTTTTTCAAGGTAAAGTAAATACAATGTTTTTGTATCTCTTTTTAATTTCTTTTTATTTTTATCGAAATAATTATTGACTATATTTAAATGTACTGTTTTAAGAACAAATAATGTATAAGAGTTTGTTGGACCCAAAAATAAATGAATTTTGTTTCCATTATTTTCACTGGAAAAAAACTGTCTTAGAATACAAAGGGTTAGGAAGTCATTTGCCACCTTGGAACATATTATTTTAAAATCCGATGTACCGCTGTATTTGTAATTTGATGTCACCTCCTGAAGAGAATACTTTCTGATGCTTTACCATACAAGGCATATACCAAAAGAGGAAAGGGCCGTAGACCAAGAACAAGATGGGAAGATAAATCAGAGAAACTCTATAGCACCACAATGTGTCTGTGATCGAAGCAGTCAAAAGAGCACGAAGCAGGACCTTATATTCCCCTCGAACGTAAAGTAAAAGATGTCTCTTCCTTTCCCTTGGACATTTAGCAATCCTATACTACACTTAAACAGTTAATAGAAAAGAACATTGAATACAATAAGAACTTATTTGTGGCATTCGTAGACCAGGAGAAGGCATTTGACAGAGTCGACAGACAATTATTATGGAAAGTAATGGCACGATATGGAGTAAGCGAACACCTCATCGAAGTGTGCAAAAGTTTATACAGGGATTGTAGAAGTGTAGTTAAAATAAATCAGGGAACATCTCATCCATTCACAGTGACATCTGGAGTAAGACAGGGGTGTGTCTTATCACCACTGCTGTTTATCACCTACATCGACAGTATATGCAAGAATGCCAAGCTCATGAATGAAAATTTTAGTAAGATCAACGAATTACTCTTTGCAGATGACCAGGCCTTGATAGCAGATACAGCCATGAAATTGCAACATCTAACATTCATGAATGAAGAATTTAAAACAAATAATATGAGAATCAACACTGAAAAGACAGAAGTAATGTCAATAGGAAAAAAGAAGACAGATCTAAACATAGCAATAGAGTGCAAAGGCATTAAACAGGCATCTGAGTTTAAATATCTGGAAACTACATTTACCAAAGATGGAAAATTTGATAAAGAAATTAACATTAGATGCAGTAAAGCAAACCAAGTATTGGGACAGCTAGCCCCCCTCTTACAGCATAAGACAATCCCAATCAGCACAAAGAGACATCTTATTCAAAGCATATTTATTCCAACTCTGTGCTATCAGTGCCAGACATGGTCACTCACAACAAACCATAAAAGAACATTAGTAACCATGGAAATGAGATGTCTGAGAAGGGCTGCAGGAGTGACCATAAGAGATAAGATCAGGAATGAGATCATAAGAGAAAAAGTCGGCACAGAACCAATTCTGGATTACATACGAAGACAGCAAGTGAAATGGTTTGCCCACTTAGAGAGAATGCCTTGTGACACCATACCATACAAAGCATACATGGAAAGAGAAGAAGGACGTAGAGCACGAGGTAGACCAAGAACAAGATGAAAGGATAACATCAGAGAAACTCTACAACAGCACGTTGTGCCTATGGTCGAGGCGGTCAGAAGAGCTAGAAACAGAACCTTATATCTACCTCGACACCCACAGCGCTAAAAGAGGAAGTGAAGAAGAAGATACCAAAGAGCCACACACAAATCTGCTCAATATAATTTCATACTCTTACTCTCTTCTTCTGCCCATACCAGCATCAGGAATAAATTCTCCATCTTTCTCTCTGTTACTGTTCATCTTGTCATCAAGTCTTAATTTGGGGGTATAATTTGTGTATGAGTATCATAACAGATATTCTTTTTTACTGTCATACAGTACTCTGTCAGTATCAATTGTCACCCATGAACAAGCATACATTGTCGGAATACTCTCACTTAGACACAATCAGTACAGACAAATAAGAACCATTTCTAGTTGAGGCATCAACAAGGACTCAGCTGTTCTTCTCATTGATTGAAGCACATTTGTTGTGGTTTACAGCTAGGCTGCAGAGTCTGTGACTTTTGGTCCAGAATATCTTATTGCAGCACACTAGTGTTGGTTGCCTTTTATGGCTGATTTTTGTTGTCAATGTATCTTTTTATTATTATCATATATTTGCATTCAGTATTTAGGTTTTCCAACAGTCTACATAATTCTTTATCTTATCTGATGCCTAATGTTTCATACTATAGTTCATCATTACTCTCTGACTCTTAAAACTTCTACATGCAGATTCAAACGGCGATACAACTCCAACTTTTGGCCAGACGGGTAAACCAAGTAGCCTTGAGTTCCAGATACAGCAACAAGAAATTACGCAAGATGAACTTATTACAGACTCGGAAGTGTCGGAGCTGAGGGCTGCCTTGAGCAGTCTGAAAAACATCGCTGAAGACATTGAAAAAGAGCAGGATCAACAGCTGGAAACAATAGATAACCTGACAGAGTCTGTGACTAGGGGCAGTCATAGACTTCAAGCGATGAATAGTAAAATTGGCAAACTGGCTAAATGATTTACATGATGGTGAAGTGTCATTTTGTTGTGGCTTGTAAATTGGTAGCCGGTAGAAACTTTAGGTCGGGCATACACACCTCTTCTATATGTATCTCAGTAATTACCGGATCCAAACGAAAAAAGGAGGAGGGCTTGTGCGTGAGGCCAGTTGATTGGGTAGAGAATAGTGGAAGATCTGGATTTTGCAAATGATACTGTTCTGTTAAATAAAAATAACAAAAACATGCAAAGAAAAACAGATGATTTGTCATCTACAGCACCACAGTTAGGACTACAAATAAGTTTAGAGAAAACAAATATATAGGTGATACCAATAACGGATCATGCAGATGTCATGCTAGAGAACAAATCACTAAAAGTAACGGACCATTTCACCTATTTGGATTGTAATTTTGACTCAAGAAGATACAACAAAGAAAATAATGATACACATTGACAAAGCAACCACAGTCTTTAAAAGCCTAAACAAAATATGGAGCTCCAACTTATACAGCTTTAAGAGCAGACTATGAATCTTCATTTCTAACGTTACTTTAGTTCTAACATATGCCAGTGAGAGTTGGAGAAACACCAAAGATATGGAATGATAACTGAATGCATTTGAAAATAAATGTCTAGGAAAAATCATGAATATAAAATGGGATGGAAAAAAAAAGAGTGAGGAGATCAGAGAAATGTGTGGACAAATAACTGAATTGAATGCAATAAGGCAAAGATGGTGGATATATATTGGGCACAAAATGAGCAAAGAATTACAAAACAAGCACTGAAATGGGAAACAAATGGTCTGAGAGGGAGAAAAAAAAAGGACGTCCAAGGGAAACATTCAGAAGAACATTATTATGAGAGGCTAAAAACGCTGGGCTGAACTCCACGTCAGAAATCGAGAGTTGCATGCAAAAAAGTGGAATGCAGGAATCGAATGCAAGCCCTATGTGATGTTTAATGGCACACAAAGCATCTTGATGATGATGCAACCTTGTGTTACTGAAGTTTTCAGAAAACCCTCAACAGGTAAAAAAGGGTACTGAAGACATATTGAAAGAAACTGACTCACAAAGAGAATTGATTTCCCACATCAGAAAGAGACAATCTCCATTCTTTGATAATGTTATGAAAAGGAGAAAACTAGAGTACATTATGACAGTAAGAAAGTTGGATGGGAAGAGAGGCAGAGGGAGACCGAGAGAACAGATGCTGGACAATCTGACATCATGGAGGATCATGTGTGTCAAAGCCAAGTTATGGATACACATGACTACCAACGCCACGCAGCATGAATTTTAAGAAGAAGAGTGACGTATCAATTTGTGGGTTAAAACCCCTCATTATTTATTTTAGGATTTCTTCTTCAGATGCTTGACCTGGCATCAGTGATCATGACTGTCTAATCCCCTCTCCTCCGTGTAGACCCACTGCCCTCTATCAACAAGAGACTAAAGGGCTGACTAATTAGGATTTGCTCAAATCGAATGTGTTGGTCCAAAAGGCACAGATAAATCATCTGCCGAGCAATATTGACCACATTTGCCATCAAATGTCATTAGTTTACAAATGTGTCATATACCAGCACATCTCAAGATGTAGACAAGGATCATTTTACTTATTGCATATGTGTAATAGCTTAATCATTGTGAACATGGGCAATAATTCCGAGATACCTGGTTCAATTCCAGCTGCAGGCAATTTAACATAGAGAGCCAGCCATTGAGAAAGCAGTGGCAAACTACTGAATGTAAAATTGCCTATGGAAAACCAAAGAGCCATAGAAATGTTGGGGTTGGTTCTGCAATGCCCTGTAAAGAGTATGCAACTAACTTATTATTATTATCAGTGTAAATATAAATATAAAAATTTATGTAAAATGGTAAATGTGATTTTCTGAGGCTTTTTTTTCAAATCTTTTACCATTAATAAAGAAAAGGACACAAGGCTGCAACTTGGCCGAGGACATGTGGAGAATGGTCAGGAATAGTTTTAATCTACTCATTGCCCAGCTATTTGTCGAATGAAATTGATTTTCAGCGATGACGCCTGGTCGCGCAGTGTGTTTTAAGGAGGCATGCACCTTATGGTTTGCCAGATCAAATTGTATGTGTTTTGCTGACTGAAGACACTATGCATGGCTACGGCATTCACTTGAAGTATCCAGCTTATCTGACTCAGTTTGTGGCTGGAATCACTGGCATAAGCGGTTGAGCAATTATGGGCCAAGCTTGTTTGCTGTGATGCCGGAACTGTAACGACTAACTAACTAAGGACACAAATAATAATGTAAAAACTTTAAAAGTGCACAAAAACCGTTATGAGTGTATTCTTTCTATTTCACTAATTATATACTTGCTTTTATGTCACATTTGTAATGCAACCATTATAATGCCTAAGAAAATTGATGAACATTAAATGGGATGAATGCAAGAGAGGTGCAGAAATAAGAAAATCTCTAGACAGTTGCTTGTATCAAGTTGTAAGAAAAAGATGGCAGTATATTGAGCACATCATGACAAGAAGCGGACAGAGAATTGCTAAACAGGCACTGAAATGGGAAACAAATGGACAGGGGGAAACGAGGACATCCAAGACAAGCTCTGTGATAAAAATTGTTAAGAGCAACCAAAGGTGTGGACAGAATTCCATTCACAAAATCAAAGGGACTGCACAGAATGTAATGGAGGATCAGACTGTGAGTCCTACGTGGCATATGCTGCCATGATATGATGATGATTGAATGCAGCTACCCAAAGCCAAGCTATTTTTTTGAGGGCTTGATTATGTTACAGGTGTGTTTGGTGTTTCACTTATTTCATTTTTGTTTTATGCACCTTACTCTTCTTCTTTTCTCTACTCCTAGAATGCCTTGTGGCATCAGGGGAAGATGAGATCTTTAGAACTGTTCCCTTTTTATATAGTATTTTTCAGTGTCTCTGATATTTCTGCGGACAATCTTCTGCATGGTCAACCTCATGATCTGTTACCACTGTATCTGTATAACATTGTCTCTGTGGGGCCCTGTCTGCTGCAAATCTTGTTACATGGCTAAACCATTTGATTTGTTGCCTAATTATTATGCACATTAATTATTTTTTCATTTATCATGTAGCAAGCAATTGTTTTTCCAGCTGATTAAATGTGATAATTGAATTATTTGTATGTTAAAATATGTCTTCTTTATGAGAAAATCTAATTAAATGTACAATGGAGTAATATCTTGATAATTTTCTTTGTCTTTGCTTTCCATACATTGAAACCAAAAAATGGCTGTTTGCTAGTATTTCTTTGGAAATTCCAAAGTGTTGGGAAATGAACAGGCAGGCTGGCTGGCTCTGCACAACTTGGTGGAATATTGATGCATGATAAGGCAGATGTGGCCAAGACCTTATGGGAGCATGTATACAGTTCAAAAGAGCAAATGGATTATCATTGGTGGGGGTGTTGCAGCGAGGAATGACGAGGGGATTTGGCCGATACTCAATGTTGAAAGAAAAAGTAAAATGGTCGTATAATCAGTCTGCTACTGGTACCATTGGTACTTGATCTTTGTGCTGGCTGCTGAAGATAAGGACGAAGTGCTTATAGGAATACCCGAGTGCTGTGATGTCAGTTCTTGAATCAAATCAAACAGTTTTGAGTCAGACTTTGAAGTTAACCCAGTGTCTTGTTGTCAAACCTTAAGAGTGTGTTTAGTCCATCTTCATTCTGTAGTTCAACCAATACTATGGGATCAACTGGCTATCACGTTGTCAAACCCAGGCTTTGGGGTCATCCTACTGTCAGGTTCTAGTCAAAGTCTGGCTATGTGGTCAACCCACTGTTGTAGGCCAAGCCAATGTAAAGTTGTGGTCAAGCCTTGATTGGGTGGAGTCAACCCCTTGTTATGTTGTCCAACCCTAACCCAGGGGTCAACTCAATGTCATATTGTAGTTATGGAGGCATCATAATGTCCTGTTGTAAAACCCTGACTGTGAGATCCACCTAGGGTTATAGTGCCAAACCCTAGCTGTAAGAGCCAACCAGGGAAATATTATTTTCAAATCCTGTTAAACTAAGTGATCAACTCCTATACATTTTGATAGTCTGGGTGTGATTTTGCCTGAGTGACATGCAGTGAGCACACCCATTCACGTTATGTTAAAATATGGCCAAAGGCAAAATTTACAATTATGAGTCAACCCAGAATCTTCAGTTTTACCCAGCAAATAAATTTACTTCACCTATCAATGTATTAACAAGACTCGCCTCTGAAAAAAATAGAACCGGAAATGCAGATGATTACTGTAAAATCGAAAAGTTCCGTTCACTCTATTTATTTAAAATGGTTCGAAAAGATCAAAGGAATTGACTAATTTCGGCATCCTGGGCATCTGTGAACTAAGGAATGTCACTGTTTTTGACGTGATGGATATTCTAAGGTTGCATGCAAAAAAGCATTGCGATATAACAGACATTTTTCGAGAAAATGGCTTGCATGTGTGTTAATCAATTGTTGAGCGAACTATAGATAAATACTCGCTCGCACACACGAAAGAGAGCTGCACACCTTCTTGTCCAGCGATCGGAACTCGCTTTTCCGCACGGTGTGTACAGACAAAGAAACGCATACACCTGTATCCTAAAACCCCTACAACACAGGACAGCGCGTGGGGACCGCCACGGCATGAATGGAAACCGGCATGAAATCTTGCACCCGAAGTGAAGGGTTAGTTTTCGTGATATGTACATGGGACGATGATGTTAGTTAAGTTGAGAATTGACATCACAGCACTCCAGGCATTTCCATGTGTGCTACGTCCTCATTTTTAGCAGCCAGCGCATAGTAAAATACTAATGGTGACGATCGTAATCTGGTTATATGTCCGTCTCGCCTTTCCTCTGAGTGCAATGAGCCGACCAGACCCTCTGGCTAAACCCAAATGCATCATTCTCTCCAGGCCACTGATACTGACGATGATGAAAAAAAGAAGAATGACGATGACGAACTAGTTATTCAACCAATCATACTAATTTGTTTCGGTCAACAGTCTATTCCTATATTGTAGGTATAATGTTGAATTAAGAATCGAAATCACAACACTCGGGACATTCCCATAAATACTCAGTCCCTATCTTCAGCAGCAAGCGAAGAGTTCCAATTCCGATGATACCAGTAACCGTCTGATTGAATATCTGTTTCGCCCTTCCCCTGAGTGTTGAACGTCGGTCAGATCCCTTGGTAACTCTTCGCAGCGTCATTATCCTTAGACCGTAATTATCTATCTGCGCCTCCGCACTGTTTACTCGCTCCCGAATGGCGGTCGCAATATCTAACTTGTCATATTTCAATTTACCACCAAAAGTTGCAAAGCCAGCCAAACTGTCTGCCTGTTCATTTCCCAACACACGGGCATCACCTGAAGAAAATATCCAAAGGATGCCAACTACCTGGACCTCTGAAGTGATGCTTGCCACTCTGCACGAAGCATGCCTGTTTTCACCTTTCTCAATATGTACTTTGAATATTTTTTAGGTAGAAGTTTCGAATTCTATTATTCCTATGATTATTTTACAACCTCTTTGTCGTGCACAAATCGTTCATTTGATTTCTCAGCAATTACACAATAAATGCTTTTTACAAATATGTTTCTGTATTGTTGAGTGTTTTGATTATTACCGCTGCATTGTATCATACGTGTTTCTCCGTGTTAATTCAAGGATTTCATGAAGTTTCCAAAGTTACAATGGTCCTGGGCTGTGTGGTAGATTTTCCTCAGTAATATTCAAGTCGTCAAAATTCAGTCTCTTAAATGTTAAAATTCTATTTTGATTGCGCTGCTCCGTAAGGTGCTGCCTGTTAGGCTACTGTCGCCTCTCTGTATCGCCCCTGATATAGTCATATACCAGTGTTTCCCATCTGCTGGTCCGCGGAACAAATTTAAGTGGTCTGTGATAGTGATGTATCATTTCGTGAACAGGACACAACAGACTTCGTCAACATATGTTCAAACGTTTCGGTGCATGAAACACGGAGACGTGTCTCTGCAGCGTGGAACCTGAACACGTTGAGCGTGTGCTCCAGCACTGTCATCTGTATGCTTACAACAGAGACGCAATCTGGCCTGTTCCAACTACAATGAAGACAAAGCTGTTTGGTACACAAGAAGATATGGACTGCACGACTGCTTTCATAGAGGCTACGGCCTCATGATATAGCCTAAGTTGTCTGACAAAAAAAATCGAAGAAGAATTTACAAAAGAATGCAATCTTTTTTGCAGTTCTAATATACATTTCCTTTGGCTTTCTAAGATAACTATAAAAAGGAATGGGGTTCGTGTCAGATGTTCGAAAATAAGACGAGCCCGCAAGTCGTAGGCAATTTTGGGAACCGCTGTCCCGTGTTGCTTAACTATGATAATATTACATTACTGAAATTCTTCACGTTCACTTTCTTGGACCGATTATTATACGGATTTTTACGGTTGCTAGCAACGTAAGCTTCCGGTTGTCTCACGTGATTTTATATGCCAGATTGTCCAACAGTAACTTTATGATAGTTTACTGAATTTCTGCATCGACATTTTTGTATACCAAGTATACCCATAGATGCTCCGTCTCTCTCAGATAGTGTCTTAAGGTGTAGATGGTGACTATCCAAATAGCACAGTGTTGTAGACACGCCGTATTTAATCTTTCACACTCTCTTTCTGGATCCCCACATAATTCTAAATTATGAGTTAAAGACGTCATAACAGCTCTCGGAGCATTAAACAACCTATCCCCATTTTTAAATGTACAGCCTGAACTGGGCTTGATCGGGAGGACTATTATCATGCATTATGTGAAAAGATATGGAAATATGGTATTTGGCCAAAAGACTGTAAGAAGAGATTAATGTAGCTCAGGCTGGATTTAGACAGGGAAGAGGAACAAGAGATCATATATTCAACATGCGTTTAATAATAGAGAAGTCCAGCTCATTGAATGAATCAAGAATTTACATCACTGCACTCGGGACATTCCCACACATGCTCTGTCATCTTCTTGAGTAACAAACGAAGAGTTGACATGATAATAGTATCAGCTCCAGCCTAATTAACACATAAACATATCATTAGGGCCCACAGACAATCAGTTCTTACATGCTAGTTATCTGACACTGATTAAAACAAAAGCACTTCAGTCTGAGGTCCCAATAAGTCAGTTACCATATCTGCAATGAAGAGATGACTGCAATGAATCTCCAGTGCTCTCTGCCAAATGTCCTGGTTTTACACTCTATGAAACTGTTGTTCGTCCACCTTTTGATATCCTCCAATTTATATCGCTGACTACTCTTTACTCTCTTACCTCTAACTTCTTTTCCCTGGTATGAATTTTTCGAGAGCTTTCTGTCTATTTGTAGCTCTTAGCTAAAATTTGTGGGTGTGCTGTTCGAACATCACCAATAATATATCGGTGCTTCAGTTCCATCTTTTCATTAAAGTGGCTGAAATATTTTATTTGTCTCTTATTGTTTCGTATGTACAAGGACAATAAGTACAATTTAAACGAGTCTTGAAAGTAAGGATATATATATATATAAGTATATATATAAGGATATATATATATATATATATATATATATATATATATATATATATATATATATATATATATATATATATATATATATATATATATATATACGTATGAAAGCAGGAGCATTAACAGAGATTTCATTTTTTGGCTACAGCACGATAAAATGTTGGCCATGTTAAAACTCTATTTAACATTTCTAGCTAAAAGAATCTTACAGTGACCTGGCGCTTCCGCTGGTGGTTGTGACTATCACATGATAAACAACTCTGGAAGATGGCGACGATCAAAGTGAGCAACTTGAACGGACCTCTGAATGCCATTGCGGCTTCTAAGACCCACAAATTAGCTGTCACTAGGGACTATATTACACAGCCAAGACTGAGTACGTGTTAATAATTTGTGAATATTTAGATATAACTTGCAATGCATTTTTTTGCAAAATAAGTGCTTGGATTTCGCCCTCAAAGCCTATGTATTTCATTTCTTTCAAACAGCAGACGATATGTTTTTTGATTTTTCGTGTTTCTTATGAACACGCACCTTAAGTTAAAATTTATGGTTGTATGATTGTTAAGTTTTAAAGACATTAAACAATTTTTAAAGAATTTGTAATATCAGTCTATGTCAAAGTATATTGCGATCAGTGATAATTGTAACAGCTTAATGATGTATCCCGAATGGTGCAGAATTTTTAAAAATTAGAATTGAGACCTAGTAGTTTAGTTGATTCTAAGTAAGTATCATACTTGATTGTTTACACTTGGTGCTGTTGAAACTAGCCTGTGTTTTACAACTTTTTCTCATTTAATTGCATTTTGATAACTGCCTGCTGCTGTATGTTTTAAGGGGTAGGAACTGTTGAGAATCCCTCTTGTTACAATTACACAAATATATAATATTTGGCCTGCTGTATGTTTTAAGGGCTAGGAACTGTTGAGAATCCCTGTTGTTACAATTACATATATATATATATATAATATTTGGCCTGCTGTATGAGTGTATGTTTTAAGGGGTAGGAACTGTTGAGAATCCCTCTTGTTACAATTACACACCCTGGCAGAGAATTTTTTTTTTCAACGTCCACATCCTAGTCATCCAGCCTCACAAAAATAAATACCAAACAATTTTGAGAATTAGCTGGGACAGAAAGATGATGAACAAGGAAATGGACCCCCTCACATCATATGTCATTCAGTTGCCAACAGTTATTTTAAATATATACTTATTTCTGGGGGTAAGAATGATCTGTGAAGTAATAACATTCAGAAACTGAGTTAAAATATAACAGAAACATTTAAAGCAGCAGCTGAAAGTAATAAGTGGGACTGAAGGAGTCTAGAAATCTGAGTTCCTCTGGCAAAATCTTTTTACGTCTTGCATTCCCTAGTGGAGCATAAACCCTGATGATGGGAAAGCTCCTTTTATCTGTTCCCCCTCAGATCTTTGTGTTCTTGCATGTTTGTATATTCATTTAGTATATTCTTACACTTATCATAATTGGCTTTCACCAAGGGAGGTTATTTTTTCTCCATATAAATAGATCTTATACATTTTATGAATTACTTTGTAAAACTGGAGTACAGGACCCTTCTCCAAACCTTCAGGCATCGAGTGCTAGACTTATATTTGATTTATAGACAAATTGGCACTCACTGGGTGATATGGTCAACATCACACTAGCAGCCTTTACTTCCCAGGACTTTACCTTGTATCCATTTAAGGCTGGGTCGACCTGGAAGCCAAGGTCATTTTTTGAAAAAAAAAAAGTGTAGCTCTGTTCATATTTAAACCTGCGACCTTAGGATATGTAGGCAAATGTCTAGCCACTACACCACGGTGGCTCCCCCCTGCCGAGTTACTTCTTAGAAAAAAAATATTATTTTGTGTGTGTAATCGCATTCAGAAAACAATGAATTGCTGTTTTTAAATACTTTGTCTTGTTCTTGCAGCCTACTCAACTGTGTCTGGTGTCAATGGCCCGCTTGTCATAATGGACCATGTCAAGGTAATTCAGGATGACCTAGGCATTGTGAGATAGATTAGATGTCATCAACGTTTCACTTGAGTAGATTTACTAACATGTATTTTTATATTGTGTATTTATGCGTCTAAGAGTTCATTTGATCAGAATTTGGGATTTATATAATAAGGATTCACTGCTATCATCATTGTGGTTGGTTGTTTGAGTGGTCTTGTAGTAATTTGTTTTTTTGGGGGATGAGGTCCTATCCTCAGCAAGTTTCTCGAAAACTTCCATGCCACTGTAACTTACATGTTAGCTGAATAGGTTAGTTGCGTATCCTTTACAGGACCTTACAGAACCAACCCCAGCAGCTCCTGGCTGTTGTGTGGTTTCTATAGGCAAATTTACGTCCAGTAGTTTGCCAGTGCTTTCTGGACGGTCGGTCCCCCTGATACCACAGTCGAATGCTTGATATTATTTTATTCTCATATATTTATATTGTTTCTTTAATTTAAATTGTTGTTATCTCAGTTCCCCAAGTATGCAGAGATCGTCAACCTTCGACTGGCAGATGGCACTACCAGAAGTGGGCAGGTTCTGGAGGTGGCGGGCTCAAAGGCTGTTATACAGGTATGATTAAATGATCCACTGTACAGGTGTGATTAAATGACCCACTGTGCATCTATGTTGGCACCATCCTTCTCTCCAGACAATAATGTTCCCTTTGTGCTGTAGTGAGGCATGGGAACTACCACACCCGGTCATGGTCAGAGTGACTAGCAAGGCCAGAAGAATCCCCCACAATAACTCCCTGAGATTTAAGGACCATGGTTGCTGTCACATGTATTTGACATCTTTCTTCTCAGACACTCAACTCTTGACATATCTGCAGTCCTTTTTCCCTGCTGCCTTCATTATCTTCCTCCCCCATGTTTGACATATCTGCAATCCTTTTTCCCTGCTGCCTTCATTATTTTCCTCCCCCATGTTATGTCATCCTGTGAAGGTTGGATTGAATGTATTATTTTCTCTGAGTTCAGTAGCCGGGGGGGGGGGGGGGGGGGGGGGGGGGGGGGTGGTGGGGGGGGGGGGGCAAGAATTGACCCACTGCTTTCCTAACAAGCATGATTAATTGGTTGTTTTTCCTTCAAAGTCTCTGTACATATAAGCAAGATGTGTAAACATATGTGCATGCACAACTCTGATTCTGGAACAAGACCAAAGCCCTGAAGCGGAGGGAAGAATTAGAACTTTCTGTCAGTGTTTACAGCTGGTGAACATAAAGAAGAAGAATGCAGATTCAGTCGGTTTTTCGTTCACAGGACAGGTATGATTAGATGAAATGTTTTGCATGCAACACGGGAATTAAATGTCAAGACACTGACTGGCACTCACAGAAGTAGCCCACCTTGACCCACTTTGTTGGCTACTGCAGAAACAACAACAGATCTAGACAGTATTTTATTTGTTAAATCATGGCTGGGTGGACAATTTTGGTGGACTACCAGGAGATTCCTGTAGACCGCATCAGTCTGGGGACAACTGGATGAATAACATGGACTTGGAGGACCTTCTGCTGACTGGATTTATGGTGGCAATTAACAGTTTTGTTTAGATTTCTGAGTATGAGAAGTGCAAAATGACTGTTCTTCTTCTTCTTCTTCCTCGCGTTCACCAGCTGAAAACTCTGGCAGAAAGTTCTAGGTGTTAATCCACTTCTGGACTGCAGTCCTGTTCCAGAACCTGACTGTTGGGTGTGCATCCGTTTTACAGATCTGTTGGGTGTGCATCCGTTTTACAGATCTGACTCATTTGTATGTAGACTGTTGGTTCCTTGCCTCTCAGGCAGATGCACTCCGACTTTAAAGAAAGCTCCCAATTAGTCGACTCCTACGACATGCTTAAATGACTGTTTAGAAACGGAAGCAAGGGAAATCTGAGGAAGAGAACCATGACATTGCTGACACAAAACTGTTTGATTTGATTCAAGAACTGACATCACAGCACTCAGTGCATTTCCCTAAGCGCTTTGTCCCCATCTTCAGCAGCCAGCACAGAGTTCCAATACCAGTAGTGCCAGTAGCAGTCTGATTATACGTCCGTCTTGCCTTTCCTTTGAGCGTCAAGTATTAGTCAGACCCCGCCCCCCCCCAAACCACTCCTCACTGCATCACTCCCACCAGACTGTGATGATCAGTTTGCTGTTCCAAATTGTACACATGCTATCTTAAGGCCTTACCCACATCTGCCTTATCATGTATTAGTATTCCACAAGTTCTGCAGAGCCGGCCAGTGTTTCCATCTGTTCATTTTCCAACACACTGGCACAACCTGGAGAAAAGATCCACACAATGGTCTTCACCTGTGACTTCCAGAGGGAATCATGCCACTCAGCACAGAGTAATTCTGTCCTCACTTTCCTCAGCATACTTTCTGAGTCACTTACACAAAACTAGTTGAGTAGTCATTTTTTTCTCGAGAGGGAAAATCATTTGTTATAAATTGCCTGCTGTTTTTAATTGCGTATTTTAATTGCCAAGTAAAATAACTTGATCTGATTGTTTCTGTCCATCTCTTGTTTACCCTAGGTGTTCGAGGGAACATCAGGCATTGATGCCAAGCATACAAGATGTGAATTTACAGGGGACATTTTGCGTATGCCGGTCTCTGAAGACATGTCAGGTTTGTTATCTGCTGTCCTTGGTTTGAGAGTATTAATCTTTGATTTGTGGGTAAAGTGAAACCAAGATGACTTCTGTGATTCACAGAGCAGTGGCTATCAGTTATAGGACAGTAGGCATCATGGAATTAATTTCAAATCATTTACTATTCCTCTGAAGCACTCAGTGTTTCCCCATATTTTGTTTAGCTATTTATTAGTATTCCCAAGTTATTTGTAAACCCTAGAATTTCATTATTTCATATAAGTAAAATGATGTAACATTTGAAACAGTTGTTTGATTTGGTACTTGAATGACTGTTTAAAACTTGCAAACAATGATTTACCTTTATCATGATAGGTCGCATCTTCAACGGTTCTGGGAAACCAATTGATAATGGTCCTAATGTTCTGGCTGAAGATTACCTAGATATCCAAGGTAGGTGTTTAACAAAGTTTCAGAATTTGTGTTTACAACCTGCATGAAGTGCTTTTATATATAAATATATCCACTGGAAAAAGTCAACATGTAGTGCCACATAACCCAAGACCAGGCAGCTATTGATATATGATGTAGTCAGTAACGGGCTTGACTTTCCAGAGCATTTCTAGGCTGCATTGACTGAATTCATGTTGCTTTAAGAACATTCTTTTATCTGTAGGGGATTCATTCACATGACTACTGGATACCAGTAGTTAGGTGCAGTAAGTGTTAGCCACTGCGCTCCCATATTTATTAGTGCTCAGCATGAAGTCACCATTCAGTACAATAAATATGATAAGCTGTAACTGGCCTAGACTTTTAATGTTTCCTTCTGTCTTAGGTATTTTTTTGTCAGCAGATTCCAACTCCTCCTTCAGCATTCCGAGCACTTGAGGTTCATTGCTACAGATATCTCTTGCCTTCTTTTATCAGTGTGTTTGGCTTTCTCTTTCCATTTGTTGACTCCAGGTTGTTGTAGGTATGTGTATTATCTCACCAATGTCTTTCACTCCTGCCTCATAGTCTTCTCCCATTCAACACTTTTATGTACTCACTTTTGTCTTTCTGTTCCCCATTTTGGGGAAAAGAAAAGGATACACCCACCCCTCCTCATCCCCAACAAGCATGTTGTAAATAGTGACTGCCAATCTCCACATTTCCCAGCATGCTCTATGAGTTGGCTACAACTATGATATGTGTGTGCAGCTGATTCCCAAACCAGCGAAAGGCTGCAGTGACTGCCTCCACCTCCATTAACAAATTAGATGTTCTGTCATAAGCCACGCTTTGTTGCACTAAGCGACATCCAACACAGAGCCATCTGTATATATGATCACATCACTTGGGTGAGGATTTTTTTACCCTTATCTCTGTCGAGGGCTTCAGGCAGAAGGTGCTTCTTGTCTGCAGCTAGTCTGTGATATGGCTTAGCTTGCAGCATTTTAAGCTTGTTTGCAATAGTCGCCAGTGCAAGTATATATCACATACATACTACTAGGGTATCTCTTGTACATCCCAGAATTACCATCATGGCTTCATTTTGTGTGTGTTCAAGTTTCATCCTCAGACACTTTGAAATGGGAGGCATTTCAAGTACATAATCTATTGCTAACAAGATCTATGCCAGCAATTAGTGGTGATTGAAACAGATTATCAATGTTATTACTGCTTGTCAAACCGAGTGTGTTGTGTACAATCTTTCATTGGTTGAAATCATTCTACAGGTCAACCAATCAATCCGTGGTCACGTATCTACCCAGAGGAAATGATTGAGACCGGTATCTCGGCCATCGACACCATGAACAGCATCGCTCGTGGGCAGAAGATTCCCATCTTCTCTGCCGCTGGTCTGCCACACAATGAGGTATGTGAACATTTGTTGGGTGTTGCATCATGTGAAACTGGATTTTTTTTTTTTTATCTTCTGTGTTTTTGTGTGTTATTATTTTATTTGATTGTTATGGACCAGCTGTTCTCAACCTGTGGGTCGAATGACCCTTTCACAAGGATCGCCTAAAACCATCAGAAAACACATATTCATTGAAGTTTTGAAGTAGCAATGAAAATAATTGTATGGTTGGGGATCGCCGCAACACGAGGAACTATATTAAAGGGTCTCCACATTGGCAAGTTTGAGAGCCATTGTTGTAGACAGTGATGTGGTCTCCAGTGTTAGGTGGTTAAGCCATTTACTCTATTCTTTAAAGGCCAATTGTCCGTTTTACAGACTGCATTGTTCATTTCATGACAGCAGCTTTTAGAGATTGCTGGGAATGGTTGTTTTTACTCTAGGGTTTGTGTTTGGTGTGATACTCTCGGCAGGTGGCTAGCCATCTCTGTGGAGGGAGGCCGAGCCGTATATGACAAAGCCTGGTGCAGTGAGGTTGATCTCGGCTGTAAACTTGTTTACATGTGTAAATGTGATGCGAAAGAGTGCACAGAAAAATAGCAAACAGGTGACAGCCAGTAGGATAATGTTGTTTATTGTTGTGTTTATTATTCCTTTTTATTGTTATGTATATTAATCTGTTTGTTAGGTGTCTTGTTTATTGTTCTGTTTTATTGTTATAGTCAGTTATGAGATTTAGTCCATAGAAAAACATTACAGAAAGAACAGACTCAGCCTCACATTGCTTTTATGTTTGTTAACATACGTATTATGTGTTCCAGATTGCAGCCCAGATCTGTAGACAGGCTGGTCTCGTCAGGTTGCCAGGAAAAAGTGTCCAGGATGACCACAAGGACAACTTTGCCATTGTCTTCGCAGCTATGGGGGTAAGAAGATGTTCCAGTTCCACTTGTAAAAAAAAAAAATAACAAGATTAATGAACCACGTTCAGCCTGCTGCAAACAGCGTTTGCTGTGAGCAGCGTTCGGCTATATTTATGCTCTGGTTTATTTGTGCGAAGTCTGTTGCTTGATATTTTTGTATTTTTACCTGGGTTTTATCCGAGTGTATGGTCAATCCCTACATTTTATTCCTGTTTTGCCTGCTCCTCTTGTTGGTTTTGCTTCCTGTGTTCTGATTATGATAGGTGTCCATGTTTTTAATATTTGTCCAAAAGATGGTCCTTTGTGTTGATTGTCCCAGTCTCCTGTTTTGTGGTCCTGTTAATGTCAAATGATCTGTGCTGCTCACAGAGCACATCACCTAAGAATCAAGGCTGTCACCGCTAGAGAGCCCCACCGCACCAATCTTAAACCTAAGAACCAAGGCTGTCACCACTAGAGAGCCCCACTGCACCAATCTTAAACCTAAGAACCAAGGCTGTCACCACTAGAGAGCCCCACCGCACCAATCTTAAACCTAAGAACCAAGGCTGTCACCACTAGAGAGCCCCACCGCACCAATCTTAAAGAAGATCTTGGTCCACCTGTCTGTTTAACAGCTTAGCTGCTGCCTGAGAAAAAATTACAAGTGGAGAATATACAAAAAACAGAGGTGCTTGGTCATGTATCATTTTTAAAATACTGTTTTGTAAAAGTTATTTGTTCCTTTGTGTCTAAGCTTATAGAACTGGAAAAGCCTTGTTCATTTTCAAGTTTAGTGCTAAGAATATTTATCAAACATTTGCTCAGTCACAACACTGTAGACTCAAAGGCCCTCTTTTTTTTTTTTAAGCATTCACCTGCTGTAAACTGCGGCAGAAACTTCTGGTTATTCATCCACTTCTGGTCCCAGAGTTTTGCATGCACATCCATTTTACAGATCTGACTTATTTGTATGCAGACTGTTGGTTCCTCACCTCTCAGGCAGATGTGCTCTGACTATGAAGGAAACACCCCTTATTTGTTTGCTTTTCCAGCATTCTTTTTTGTGTGTTGGGGGGGGGGGGGGGGGGTATTCTTTTGTTCCCCAGTAAGGGCCTCAGAAGCTACATGGGAAGTCTCAGACCCAAAAAAAAAAAAAAAAACCCATAGCACAGTTACATTAAAGTTCATATTTTTCCAAAATAGGAATTCAGATCTGACCCACCTAAAAAAATGGGAAAGACCTCAGATATTACCATTCTGTTCATGGTCCCTGCTAAAATAGACCTATAGGTGAAGAATCCAGTTGAATTTTCCATGTGGCTTAGTAAACGTTTGCTCGTATCCTTTATAGGATGTTGCCGAACCAACCCCAGGAATTTTTTAGCTGCTGTGGTTTTTTAAGACAAATTTTACTTTAAGTAGTTGTCATTGCTTTCTAAGCAGTTGGCTGTCAATACTACTGTTGAAACCAACACATGGCGGAAAATCGCCTGCAGTTGGGTTTGAACCTGTCGTCTCAGCAGTACCAAGCGTGTCTGCAATGCCTAAGCCGCAGATGCCGGCTTAGGCATTGCAGATAAATGTGCTTATAATTCCATGGAGCTGGATTCAATCCCAGCTGCAGGCAGTTTGGCAGCAGACTGCCTTGTGTTGGTTTAAACTAATATCCAGGGCCGAATGCTGAGTAGCACTGACAAACTACTAAACACATAATTTCTTAGTAAAATCACAAAGTCAGAAATTGCTGGGGTTATTTCTGCAATGCCCTGTGAAAAAGACATGCAACTAACTTCAACTTGGCTTTGGTTTACATAAGATTAAGCAAACATCTCAATCAATCAGTCTGTCCTCGAACTCCCTTCACAGCACACCTGAAAGTCTCTCTTTAACCAGTTCTCCAGCCCTTTATGCTTTCATAGCCAGTGCATCTTCTGTGTTCTGCATCCACCTTCGCTGAGGTCAGTACTCAGAAAGCATGGGAAATCCCATTCTGGCCTCACGTCTCGATCGAGTATCAGCTGAGTTAAGCGGGCATATTTATAGTGCTATCTGCTGTTAGCAGCAATATCACAGAGCAGGGTACTCACTTACCCATGCAGTCTAAAACATTGCCAAAGGTTGAGATGCTCAGCCACGTCGATGTGGAAAACAAGGGGAGACTACCATGTTAAATAGAAACTCTTAATAGAAACAAACATCTAATTGAAAAAAAATTATTATGTCCAAGCAGTAGAATTGTTTTTAGACACAGACACAATCGTACTGGTACAAATCTGGAAGCCTTGAGAATCTTTATCCAGAGGTTTGATTAGCTGCATGCTCAATCTATAGACTGCTGTTTCTGTATTGCTGACACTTTGAATAATCTCAGGTCAACATGGAGGCAGCCAGATTTTTCAAACAAGACTTTGAAGAAAATGGATCCATGGAAAATGTGTCTTTGTTCTTGAATTTGGCCAATGATCCCACGTAAGTAAATACATTTTTTGTGTGTGCATTATCAGGCATACTTTACAACAACAACAAAATGAACATTTTCTTTCTAGGATAGCTCCATTAAATATTGATTGTTTGATTGACACATACACATGAGGCAGCAACCATGAACGCGGGAATGTTTTATTACTGCAACAAGGAATGAGAAACTATTCAATTCCCTGATTGAAGCAGGGTGCTAATACTTCAGCTAATCAGATAGTGGTTCATGGATTACTGTGTTCAAGAAAAGAAAAGTTAAGAATTGAGACGTGCACATTGAAATTCTTAAACAAAGGATTGTATTGAGTGAACAAAACTTGCTGACCTCATGTCAGTGCATGTTATGAAGTGATCTTTGTCTTTTGTTATGCAGTTTTCCTGCAAGGTAACATTGCAGCATTAGTATGATGGCCATTGAACTGTTTGCTGACCCATGAGCACTGACTGAAATGTATAATTGTGATGCAGTCGTACTTCGATATATATTCACTCTGGTATACATTCAGCTTGGTTTACTTCCTGTTTAGAAGGGAAAACATTTGTTTGTGATGTGACCTTGAGTCAGAATTATTAATAACACCACACGCTAACTTTGTTTACTCCTGTCAAGACAAAGCCACAGATAGATGTCAATGACTTTGCAGAGACGTATCACCTTAACAGAGCCCAAACAAGGCGTAAAGGCGTTGGCTGGAATGACCAGACAATGTCACATTTCCTAAATATCCTGAGGAGAAGGCTAAAGCAAAGTTCTTTAGTCAGTTTTTTGTAAAAGTCAAACCTGATGAGCCTCAACCAGGACAGAGTAGTGAAAAGAGTTAGAAAAGAAAAAAAAAGAAAGATACAAAAATACCAGAATTTCATATTCCTGAAAAAAAAAATAAAAAAAAAAACACAAAAAATTTCATATTCTGAATTTTTGTTGGACAATATCATCTCCTTTCTCACTATCATCTTAGTAGTTTCTTCAGAAAGGTAAAGTGAAATTAGATTTTAATTTTTTCATATACATTTTTTTAAAATGTTTTTAGTGTATAAATTATTTTATAAAACCCCATAATGTATAATTAACAATAGGATTTTTTTTCTCCATTTATACAGAGTAATAATTCTCCCCAATTTCTTATGGGAAAATGTATTTAGTATACATACTGTTTTGTATACATCCAAGGATCAGGAATAGGGTAAAAACGTATACTGAGGTATGACTGTGTTACTTACATTGGCAGTGTTGCAGTATTGAGCTCTGGTTATAAAAAGTTATACAGCTGAAATGTATACAGTGAATTCATTAGGCATTAGACTGTTGCAATATTTAGCTCATTGTTGCAATATTTAGCTCATTGTTGCAATATTTAGCTCATTGTTGCAATATTGAGGTCATTGTTGCAATATTGAGCTCATTGTTGCAATATTTAGCTCATTGTTGCAATATTTAGCTCATAGTTGCAATATTTAGCTCATTGTTGCAATATTGAGGTCATTGTTGCTTAAGAATTGTGAGGTTTATATTAATTATGCAATTAGTTGCACTTGAGAGTTATAAAAGGAATTAATTCTGTTCTTTGAGAACTATGAAGTGAATTAATTAGGCTTTATACTCTTGCAGTATTGCGGTGATCATTTTTGAGTATTATAAAATCATTAATTATGTGATGAAATTTTACAGGATTGATCTCTAGTTAAAGTTTACAACAATAAAATGGATTAATTACATTTTGAACTGTTACAGTATTGAGCGCATCATCACTCCTCGTATTGCTCTGACCACGGCTGAGTACTTGGCCTACCAGTGCGAGAAACATATTCTTGTCATCCTAACGGACATGAGTTCCTACGCTGAAGCCTTGAGAGAGGTATGACATTTAGATTAACAATTTGGCAATGACGATATATTTTCCTTATTAGAAAATAGGATATTTATTTGTCACTTGTAATAATAATAACTGGATGTTACTTTTTAAAAAATAAGTAACATAATGTTAATACTCAATATATGATTAGTATTTTGCTGTTTGTGAATTCTCTGAAAGGCTTGAGTTTCAACTCATAAGCTTGATGCTGTTTGGGTTGTGATGTGAGATGGCACTTGATTATGATAAATTTGCTGTTTTTGCTTTTATTGCATTAAAAAAAATATGTAAAAGGATCCTTTTTGCCATGCCGTCGGGTGTATTGGGCATCTAGTGCCAGACCTGCATTTTATAGACTAATCGGCAGTCAAAGTTTATAGAACAATCGGCAGTCATATTTTATGGACCAATCGACAGTCAGTGGGTTTTGTGGTCATCATCACTTTATCTGGAAACCATTCAAACCTGGGTCAACCTGGAAGCAAAGGTCATTTTCAAAGCAGAAAAAAAAAAGCAGGTTCCGTTCAGATTTGAACCCATGACCTTCGGATCCGTAGCCAGGTGTTAGCTGCGACACTGTGGCAGCTCCAATTAGAGAAATGCAAGCCTAGTAGTACCACTTTAGAAGCGTGTGTTTCTGAAGAAGTTGTAAGAACATTCCTTGAAACTGAACTGATATTTTATTGTGAGCCAACCTGCTAGAATTGTTCTCATGCACATCATTTTTATTTTACCAGGTGTCTGCTGCCAGAGAAGAAGTGCCAGGTCGTCGTGGTTTTCCAGGTTACATGTATACAGATTTGGCCACAATTTATGAACGTGCTGGCCGTGTTGAAGGCAGAACTGGCTCCATCACACAGATCCCTATCCTGACCATGCCTAACGACGGTAACATTTTGTGTTTCCAGTTTTAGTGGTTGGGACCAGGTCCTAATCTAGCATCTCTTATCATGTCAGCTGTACATCTTAATTTAGCATTTCTTATCATGTCAGCTGTACATCTTAATCTAGCATTTCTTATCATGTCAGCTGTACATCTTAATCTAGCATTTCTTATCATGTCAGCTGTACATCTTTATCTAGCATTTCTAATCATGTCAGCTGTACATCTTAATCTAGCATCTCTTATCATGTCAGCTGTACATCTTAATCTAGCATTTCTTATCATGTCAGCTGTGCATCTTTATCTAGCATTTCTTATCATGTCAGCTGTACATCTTAATCTAGCATCTCTTATCATGTCAGCTGTACATCTTAATCTAGCATCTCTTATCATGTCAGCTGTACATCTTAATCTATCATTTCTTATCATGTCAGCTGTACATCTTAATCTAGCATCTCTTATCATGTCAGCTGTACATCTTAATCTAGCATTTCTTATCATGTCAGCTGTACATCTTAATCTAGCATTTCTTATCATGTCAGATATACATCTTAATCTGGCATCTCTTATCATGTCAGCTGTACATCTTAATCTAGCATTTCTTATCACACCAGTTGGGCATACATGTGATTGTAACTGACTTACAGAGCATGTTGAAAAAAGTGAAGATAAGTATCTTCTATGCAGAGTAGCAAGCATCACATCAGACCTCCTGGTTGGTTGGCATCATTTGGATATTTTCTCCAGGTCATGCTGGTGTGTTGGGAAACGAACATATAGAAAGACTGGCTGGTTCTGCGCCACTTGGTGGTGAAATGATGCATCAACAAGCGAGATGTCCTTGGGCTCTTGTGAACATTGTGGAGACAAGCAGATCATCACGGTCTGTGGAGAATGGTACTGTGAGGAGTTAGCAGGAGATCTGGCTGACTCTGGAAAAAGGCGAGATAGATATACAATCAGACTGTTACTGGTGCCATTGGAATTGGAACTCTGCATTTGCTGCTGGAGATGGGGACAGTAATGTCCAAAGTGCTGTGATGTCAATTCTTAATTCAACATTCAGTATCTCTTGTCAGTACTTGGAATTACAGGCTCAGTTTGTGGATTCCGGGGTCCATATTTGAGCGAGAATATACCCACTACCTCTTAACACATGTGGCCTAAAAAGACAACTTAAGTTGTTTGCTGAAATTGGGTGTATTTAGTTGGATGGCACAGATATTTAGTCCTAGCTGTAGACCACAAGGCACACGCCAGCTGCCCCCTCTGTCAGGCTTATTTGGTTTCTCACCTCTCAGGCAGAAGTACTCCAGCTTCAGAGGAACACCCCTTCTTAGTCAGACTCTTGCAACGTGTCTGTTAGGGGGACAATGAGTCTATTCTTTGTTTCCCCTACAGTGGGACTCTGGAACCCACTTAGGGAGAGTCAGCCTGTAGTTATTCCAGTATGTCAGTTTACGTGACGTTACATGTAGTCCAGATGGCTAATTTTTGAAATTTTCAACAATTAAAAATCTGGACAAACAGTGTCAGAGATGCCCAGGTGTGGTTTTGTGTGATCCCCCCTTTTCCCCCTCCATATTGTACTCTTCTTAAAGTCTGAATGTGTGTACCAAAATCACTGGTGTTAAAAATATTAATCTTATGGTAAACCTTAATTTAACCTGAGCAGCATGTAATGTCACCTGTTTAACTACTGATAACTTAGTCAGCATACAATGTCACCTATTTAACTACTGATAACTTAGTCAGCATACAATGTCACCTATTTAACTACTGATAACTTAGTCAGCATACAATGTCACCTATTTAACTACTGATAACTTAGTCAGCATACAATGTCACCTATTTAACTACTGATAACTTAGTCAGCATACAATGTCACCTGTTTAACTACTGATAACTTATTCAGCATACAATGTCACATGTTTAACTAATGATAACTTATTCAGCATACAATGTCACCTGTTTAACTACTGATAACTTAGTCAGCATACAATGTCACCTGTTTAACTACTGATAACTTATTCAGCATACAATGTCACATGTTTAACTAATGATAACTTATTCAGCATACAATGTCACCTGTTTAACTACTGATAACTTAGTCAGCATACAATGTCACCTGTTTAACTATCGATAACTTAGTCAGCATACAATGTCACCTATTTAAGTACTGATAACTTATTCAGCATACAATGTCACCTATTTAACTAATGATAACTTATTCAGCATACAATGTCACCTGTTTAACTACTGATAACTTATTCAGCATACAATGTCACCTATTTAACTACTGATAACTTAGTCAGCATACAATGTCACCTATTTAACTACTGATAACTTATTCAGCATACAATGTCACCTGTTTAACTATCGATAACTTAGTCAGCATACAATGTCACCTGTTTAACTATCGATAACTTAGTCAGCATACAATGTCACCTATTTAACTACTGATAACTTAGTCAGCATACAATGTCACCTATTTAACTAATGACAACTTATTCAGCATACAATGTCACCTATTTAACTATCGATAACTTAGTCAGCATGCACATGGGATGGAGAGGTTAGAGCCAATAAATGAGTGATCTGCACTCAAGGCCATTGGTTGGAGGCCTGTATGTGCCTGACAAGATAAGGGGACACATGGGACAGAGTTTCACAAAAATATGTATTTACTCAGATGTGTAGGATATTTACATTTTTTTCCCCTTGTCAACAGACATTACTCACCCGATCCCTGATCTGACTGGTTACATTACTGAAGGTCAGATGTATGTGGACAGACAGTTGCACAACAGACAGGTGAGGTGTTCCATTTGTAGCAGTCTTTGTGAATTATTGTTAGCACTGTGTGCTTACTGATAATGTGCCGGGGACAAGTTCAAATTATGCGTACGCACGTGCACCCACACACACACACATATAAAACAGTGTGATCAGATTTTTTAAAAATCTTCACTGTGTTTGTCTTTAACTGACATGATTGAATCATCCTAATCCTATAATAATAGAGAAGTGTAGAGAATTTAATGTAAATCTGTTCTTATGTTTTGTGGATTATTCAAAAGCATTTGACTGTGTACAACATCAGAAGCTTTGGGAAATCATGAGGAATATGGGCTTTCCATCACATATAGTGCAGCTCATTAAAATGCTCTATCAAGACCAACAAGCAGCAGTCAGAATAGATGGAGAGACATCAGACTGGTTTGGCATCAAGCAAGGAGTCCGTCAGGGATGTGTGCTGTCACCGTATTTGTTCAACCTGTACGCCGAAAATATAATGAGAAATGTAAGAGATGATATAAACAAGGAACAATATGATGCTCTAAACATCGGTGGTCATGAAATACCAGAAATTCGTTATGCTGATGATACAGTATTACTATCAACATCACAAAATGGTTTAGAAAAACTTATTAACCTCACTCCAAAGAAATAGTGAAAATCATAACTTATTTCTTAACATAGCAAAAACAAAGATAATGCATACAAACAAAACTGCCATGGAGAAGGAAATATATGTTAATGAGGAAAGATTGGAAGTGGTGGAAAATTTCGAATATCTTGGGTCACTGGTTACCAACAATGGTGACACAATGAAAGAAATTAAACGGCGACTATCAATTGCTCTTCAAAGACTAAAACAACTGAATAAATTATGGAATTGTACAGATAGAATTACAAAGGTCAGATTTTTATGAGCATGCATCTTTCCCATTGCAACATACGCCTGTGAGACCTGGACACTTACTAAACAAGCGGAACAGCGCATAAATGCATTTGAATATAAATGTTACAGACAGGTTCTAAGAATATCTTGGGTAAAGAAAAGAACAAATGCATCCATACTTCAAGAGCTGAATATTGAAGAGGGTTGGCTAGTAAAGACAATAAAACAAAGAAAATTGAAATATTTTGGTCACTTGAAACGTCATGGAAGTCTAGAGAGAACAATAATGGAGGGGTATATGCCTGGGAAGAGAGGAAGAGGAAGGCCAAGGAGAAGATGGGTGCAGGATGTGGCAGATGATCTCCAGATGGGTGTATCAGACGCAGGACATCTTGCTCATGATAGGAAGGTTTTCCGGAGGGTTGTTATGGCAGCGAGGTTCCGCGAGGGACATGCTACTGAATGAATGAGTGAATGAATGAATGAATCCTATAAATGGAATTATAAAAGTCTTGCTTGAGTAAAATGATTGATAAATCTGTAGTGCTGGTATATATTGACTTTTTCAATGTTCTCAGATCTACCCACCAATCAATGTGCTGCCATCTTTGTCTCGTTTGATGAAATCTGCCATTGGTGAGGGTATGACTAGGGAGGATCATTCAGACGTTTCCAATCAGTTGGTAAGTGCCAATAGATTAATATGATGTTGTGTTAGGGAGACATTCTTCTTCTTGCTCTTTTACGGCTTCAGATGACAAGGGGGATACTAAGGTTGCTTTTCTGGCCGCCTCGACCAAAGACACTTAATGCTGTTGAAGAGTTTCTCAAAACCACTGAAGTCTGTACACATCCACTGTACAATGAACTGAATACAAGTATACGCAGCAGACTTAAATGAGGCCAGTCTTGGTTAAAGACTGCCTTGCAGAGACAATATTTTAACAGGTGTTTTCCCTTCTAGACAAACTGCGGAAAAAGAATTGATACCTATACCAAAGGAATACAAACAGTACTTTGTGGTTTATATCACCCTGACAAGACAATGCTATGATTTGGCACCATCAATAGCTAATACAGAAGTGAAAGCATTGGATATCCCCGGAAGATGCTGTTAAATATACAGATGGTTCTGTCATTGATCAGAAGTGAAGTGCATGGGCTTTCACAGCAAGAACTACAGGAAAAGTCATCAAAGAAGATAGCAGAGCCTTTGCTTCTACCACCAGCATGGCTGTGACAAAGGTGCTAGAATATTTTGCCAGGAAAGATGGAAAGATGCCAATCACACACACACACAGTTATAGTTATCTAGTGTTAACAGCAACATCAAATACAATCACAGGCACTACGTCTCAGAAGATCGGCTACAAGAGCAAAAGGATAGCCATGAAAATATGAATTGACAACATTAAAGACACTTTATGCCTTCACAGTATGACAATAGCCAGTGCCAACCAACATGCAGTGGATCACAAATTATTCCTCCCCACGATGCTTACAGGTAGAAGTGGTTTATCATGATTATAGAACAAAATGATACGGTTGGATACATATGTGTTCAGTAATGACCTGTTTTGACCTGTTTGTTTATCAGTATGCCTGCTATGCGATCGGAAAGGATGTCCAGGCTATGAAAGCCGTGGTCGGTGAGGAAGCTCTCACTCCTGAGGACTTGCTTTATCTCGAGTTCCTGATCAAGTTTGAGAAGAATTTCATTACTCAAGGTTGGTACATTGCTTTTCCACTACCCTGTGCCTGGTTATTGTTTGAAAACTGAAATAAATAAGCATTATAAAGCTGTGTCAAGCACACAGGGCTGGATAACTGGCTAGAGAAAGAGAGACTTTCTGGTGTCCTTTGAAGAGAGCAGTGTTCTGTAAAGGACATTCTGATTGATTGATTGATTGATAGCCATGTCAGAGAAAGCTTTGCAGAATATCAGTATTCTCACTGCTGCAAGAACATTATCCTGCTAATTGTGCGTGAGTACAATTTGTTGTATTGCTGGATGCTCCTTAAGCCTGACACCCCCGCAACATAGGAGAGGCCCAACGACACAACCAGGGATGATGGCAAGGGAAGTCACTCTCTTTCTGGGCCCAACTTCGTGAGTTGTACCGAATCTGGATGTCCTGCATGAGAGGCTAGTGCTCCTAACTGTTCAGCTAGCTTCTCCTGTAAATATTGCTGCAGTAGTGCACAGGCAAGGAAATGTGCCTGTCAGTTTATTGAAACCTGGGATCAGATTGGTATTTTTAAATTGACGTGGCTGAGGTCAGTTCATTGAAACCTGGGATCAGATTGGTATTTTTAAATTGACGTGGCTGAGGTCAGTTCATTGAAACCTGGGATCAGATTGGTATTTTTAAATTGACGTGGCTGAGGTCAGTTCATTGAAACCTGGGATCAGATTGGTATTTTTAAATTGACGTGGCTGAGGGCAGTTCATTGAAACCTGGGATCAGATTGGTATTTTTAAATTGATGTGGCTGAGGTCAGTTCATTGAAACCTGGGATCAGATTGGTATTTTTAAATTGATGTGGCTGAGGTCAGTTCATTGAAACCTGGGATCAGATTGGTATTTTTAAATTGACGTGGCTGAGGTCAGTTTATTGAAACCTGGGATCAGATTGGTATTTTTAAATTGACGTGACTGAGGTCAGTTCATTGAAACCTGGGATCAGATTGGTATTTTTAAATTGACGTGGCTGAGGTCAGTTTAGTCTTAGGAAATGGATATCAACAAGTTTTCTTGGGAATTTAATATGACCACGTCATATCCATTGCATGACATTTTTCATACTTTTCTGCAGGTCATTATGAGAAGCGTACTATCTTTGAATCTTTGGATATTGGCTGGCAGCTGCTGCGTATCTTCCCTAAAGAGATGTTGAAGCGAATTCCACAGTCAACCTTGGCCAAGTACTACCAGAGAGCATCTACGCAGGCGGAAACATCAGGCAGGAAAGGTCCAGAGACAACAACACTTTAAAGTTTTAATCTTAGCTATCCTTGGATTTTATTGGACATTTACAACCAAAACTGAGATAGTTTTTGGTTTTAGTTGAATATTCAACTCTGACTAAGATATTCATGGTTTTAGCTGTAAATTTACTATCAGAGGACACAAACAAATTGAGACTCGAATTCGAATAATAAAGTTTCTTTCAAATTTATAACAGCAGAGGTATAATTTTACATTGATAAACAAAACATAAAATAAATAATGGAGTATCCTCTAAAAAACATCTGCTTGTCCAATAAGGTCTCTGTTAGACTACAGTTGTGGTCCCTCTCTACAGTTGATGTTCCTTGATATTTTATTTGATGTCAACAATTCTGACTTCTTGAAAGGCTGATATAAAAAGTCACTGTTGTTAAAACCGTGCACATAATTTTAAAAAGATTCTTTTCTCATCATGGCTAAGACAAAGTTACCTCTCTGTTATCTGCTTTAGTCCTATATGGACTTTTCTTGTAGGGAAATCTTGAAGTTAATATCTTTTATAGTGACCTTTAATGGAATCTAGCCATCTGATTCTTTCACTTCTTTGACTGTAGGGACAAAATGTTAGCTTCACTTCTGCTGTCTTTCATCTTCAATAGAGCATACTCCGTCTGCTAAACAAAACTATTACCTTTGTAGACATCTTCACAAGAGATTGGATCTTGCAGCTAACCGTGCTGGCCCTCTTGTGCCTCTGACTCTAAGCAAAGTGGATTATGAGACTACTTTTCCCCTTCAGAAACACACTGGTAGCAGTCAAAGCTGGTTGGGCTAATTCTCTATTGCCTGTCTAGAAATTAAATGTCACCACTAGTATCTGTGTCAGCTGATGTATGTTATTTGTGTCACGTGTGATGAGCCTCAACAATCTGCACATTCCATGAAGCTTCTTTTTTTTCTAGTATAGTTTCAATTTTTTAATGTTCATTTAATAATATTGTCTGCTTTGTTAACCTTTGACTAGTTCCTGACAGTTTTGTACAAAAAAGTGTGGCTGATACTGCTGTTTAGAATCACGTTTCTCAGACATTGGGTAAAACAGAAATGAATGAAAAAATTCCTGTTGCAGTTATTCAGCTGTAGAATACCAAGGTTATCACATACTGAGGTCACATGTATAGGGGATATGTCCAGTTACTTTATGTTACCTGCCACCTTTTTCCTTCTGTGGCTCCAAGTCCAGCATCCTTAAAGCGAGACAAATTCTTGCTGTAGATCTGATCACCCTGTCCTAGTCTTTCCTTTTTGGTGGTCCATGAGCTCTAGGGGTCTACGTAAGAGATGTAAACAACTTTTGACATTTACTACATACACAAAAACCCTCAGATTTAGAAATGCAACCCCTTTTATGTTTCGGGTATTTATAAATGTTAACAAGTTCTTCATTATGACTGTTCAAATGTATGGGGTCTGCAGCAGATCTTTGAAAATAAGGGGAGCTAACTAAACATGGAAAGGTACTAAACAGATTATCATCACTTGGGGAAATACTGTCACATGACTGAAGAGTTAGTACTAGTGCAGACCTGATGAGAAACTCACTGGCAACCTAAGAAATAATTTGTTCTTCTTATCAGAAATTTCACTTATCTAGATGAAGAATTCAAGCAAGAAAAATTGCAGGTGATAAACATTGTTCTTCACACAAAAAATTTGCAACATCCGAAATCACCTTAAGTAGTCTGCACAATACTTTGCATATACTGTATCTTAGTAGGATGATCCCCTTCTTGTCTAGTAACTACTCCCTCAGAGAAAAACCGCTGGTGCCCATATTGAATGGCTGCGTTATCCTTGGACTTTAATGAGCAAAAACACATTCCTTCTGTCTTGCTGAACTGCTGCCTCAGTAAGCTAGAGCACTAACCACTCTTCCCCGTACCTTATGAAGCACTAGCTCAGTGTAATTTTTTGAGCATATATGTGAGTGGCTTACCATGACAAAATCAAACACATGAATTTGTAATTATAGTGCATAATATTTGACTGGTAGAATCAATCTGCAAAAAACAAACACACAGAAACTTTGGCTATTTTTAAAGTAAGTAATTGTGAGTGTCTGTACTGGACTTATGTAAATATTTATGTTGTTATAATAACAGGAGTATTATAACTATATTTATTTTGCTCATTAAGAGTAATTGCTAAAGTAGTTACTTTGATTAATTGTGATTATGGTTTTAGAGTTGGTTTTCATATCATTTAGACTCATATACATTTTTATTTATTTACTTTGTACTCTCATTTAAGTGTAACTTTATTCCTGAACTGTTTTGTTTTTGGGTCAGACTTTATCCAATGTAATGCTCAGAAGCATTACTGAGTTTTAAAATGTACATCACCTACGGAGGAGAGAGATGTAGAGAACAAGGTAGAACAAGAACAGGATGCCATCAATAGGACAGTATGGTTGAGATGGCCAGAAGCAAGAAGCAGAACATTGTATTGTCTTCAACACACAATATGGTAACAGAGGAAGTGAAGGAGAAGAAGAATATAGACTTCATTTCACTGATGTCTGAAACATTTCTAAACCAGCTTATGTTACAGTTTAGGAAACATCCTCTGAGATTCTGTTAATATTGGTGGGCATTCTTATGGATTTTTTCCTTCTCTGCATCGTGTTCTGAAATGATTTACAAGCAAGTTTAAAAATGATCTTGTGTAGAATTCTGGTTGATATTTTAAATGTTTTTTCCCTAAACATTGTCTGAAATAATTGTTTGCTGAGAAAACATCTAATGAGTGAAGCTGACAATGACTCAACAATGACTGTAGTCTTCTTCTTGAAATCTATGCCGTGTGGCGTTGGTAGTCATATCTGTCCACAACCTTCTGTGTCTTATACTTTCTATCAACTCTGACATAGATGATCCTATGTGTCATGATGTCAGACTGTGCAACATCTTTTCTCTCAGTCTTTATCAGCCTCTCCTCCCCTCCAGCTTTCTTACTGTTACGATTTACTACTGTTTTCTCCTTTTCATCACATGACCAAAGAATAAAGATTGTCTCTTTCTGATGTGGGTAGTCAGTAGTTCTCTTTGTGAGTCACCAAACACTTGGCTCAGTATTTTATATATAGTTTGGAAAATCCTTGCTGTTTTGTTTTCTACATGCTAGCACTTCAAGTAATTAATTTTTTCAAAATATTTGTATTAATTTACATTAAAAGAGTGTCAGAACATATGTAATATTTTGTTAATGTTACCCATTTATGTATCTGCACATTATTTAGTAACTGTCTCACAGATTTGTAAATTAAATTGTGTTAAGTTTAGAACAATAGGTTAATTGTCCAGTTTGTGTAAAATTGACTGGATGCTGAAAGATGCACAGGAATCTAATTTCTTTTATACATACAGATTTCCTGCCTGGCAGTGGTAGTAAATGTTGTCATTGGTCATGCACAAATTATTTCTCAACATGCACTTTTTGTTTAGCAATTTTCAAAGCCTTTGTTTGCTTTTTAGTCTTCTTTATTTCTTTGCATTCACCAGCTTTAAATTCTGGTAGAAAGTTCTGGTTGTTCATCCACTTGTGGACTGCAGTCCTGTTCCAAAACCTGAGTGTTGCATGTGCATCCCTTTGACAGACCTGACACATTTGTGTGCAGAGTGCTGGTTCCTTGCCTCTCAGGCAGATGCACTCCGACTTCGAAAGGAAGCTCCCAGTTATTCGACTCTTATGACATGCTTTTGTGTAGTCAGCGGGTCTATTCTTGTTTTCCTTATAACAGTGCCCCGGAACCCACACAGGAGACTGTTTAGTAAAAACTCGGTTTACCATTAGTGGCAATTTAGAACACTTGTTATTGTCTGCATAAACTGGGTTTCTGATCTATGTGGAAAGCTGAAATATCTGGGCAACAAATAAATAACTGCATAAGAAACACCAGCTTTGTCAGAATATCAAACAAAGTGGATTGGAGAATCACAGTGTCTATTCCACAAATATCAGATTTGAGAATCACAATGCATACTCCATAAACAGATGATCGGAGAATCACAGTGTCTACTTCACAAACAGCAGTTTGGAAAATCACAATGTATAATGTCTACTCCACAAACACCATATTGGAGAGTTACAATGTCTACTCCACAAACAGCAGATTGGAGAGTTACAATGTCTACTCTACAAACAGCATATTGGAGAGTAACAATGTCTATTCCACAAACAGCAGATTGGAGAGTCACAATGTCTACTCTACAAACAGCAGATTGGAGAGTAACAATGTCTACTCCACAAACAGCAGATTGGAGAGTAACAATGTCTACTCCACAAAACAAATTTGAGAGCCATAATGCCTGCTTCAGAAACAACAAATTTGGGAGCCATATCTGCTTCAGAAACAACACATTTGGGAGCCATAATGTCTGCCCCCAGAAACAACAGATTTGAGAGCCAAAATGTCTGCTTCAGAAACAACAAATTTGGGAGCCATAATGTCTGCTTCAGAAACAACAAATTTAGGAGCCATAATGTCTGCTTCACAAACAGCAAATTTGAGAGCCATAATGTGGGCTTCAGAAACAACAAATTTGGGAGCCATAATGTCTGCTTCAGAAACAACAAATTTAGGAGCCATAATGTCTGATTCAGAAACAACAATTTTGGGAGCCATAATGTTTGCTTCAGAAACAACCATTTTGAGAACCATGTCTGCTTCAGAAACAACAAATTTTAGAGCCATAATGTCTGCTTCAGAAAAATAAATAAATTTGGGAGCCATAATTTCTGATTCAGAAACAACAAATTTGAGAGCCATAATATCTGCTTCAGAAACAAATTTGAGAGCCATAATTTCGGCTTCAGAAACAACCATTTTGAGAGCCATGATGTTTGCCCTAGAAACAACAAATTTGAGAGCCATAATGTCTGCCCCAGAAACAACAAATTTGAGAGCCATAATGTCTGCCCCAGAAACAACAAATTTGAGAGCCATAATGTCTGCCCCAGAAACAACAAATTTGGGAGCCAAAATG